CTGGCTATATTGCTTTTGCCTTTATTTATATTTGATTTTTTTAATTTTTATTTTGCCTTTTTATTTTAAAAAAAGTTGTGGGGAAATATTTTTTTGTTGTTGTTTAAATAGGTTCTTGGGGCAGTTTCTAGGTCAAAGAATTTCTCAACATGCCATTATTTTTTAAACTTCTATAAAAATTTTTTTGTAAAAATTTTAGTAAGTAAACACCTTAAAATACCATAGAATCTCTAATAGAATGTGCCCCCTCCATTTAAATGCCGCCCCTTTGAGAGATGATTGAAAAATTGAATATCAAGGCATTAGCCAGGGCAAGGGATTTCTATGGATGTCAGGGCATTCAATTAGCAATTTTAAAATAAACTCGAGAGCATTTAGGCATTCTATAATGTATCTCAACATTATTTTAACATCTCTTGAATGTTTTTAGCGTATTTTCATCAAATTTGTGTGTGGTCTTTTTTAAAAATTTGTTTAAAATTGTTTAATTGTTTCTTGCGCGCTTATATGAAATAAATAATTAAAAATATAAATAGGTATTTAAAAATATATAAAAAATGTATATCGCTTCCTTTTTTAAATTTTAATTGGGTTACACAATTTTTTAATTAGTAACCCTCTTCTATCGAAATTTTTTTTAGTTTTCATTTCCTTATTAATTCGAAAAATTGTAGGGCATTTTTTGGTGTATTTTTAAAATTTATTTTTTTTAATTTTTTTGTAGAATTTTTGTATTGTTTTTTTAATATTTTTATTTTTATAATTTTCTTGCAATAATGTATTTATCACCCCACACTTTTCTTCTTTTTTTTCCTCATTTTTTTAATTTCCGATTAATCCTCCTTACTGACACACTCTTATTTTTATATCAGTTACTTTAATATTTAAGAATTTTTTCTATGGATTCCTTTTTTCTTATTTTTTGGCTATATGCTGCTGCTTCTTGCTGCTTTTTCTTCTGCTTTTTCTTCTTCTTCCATTTTTCTATTGCTAACTTATATAAATTTTTTTTTTCTTTTTGTTGTGCGTTAGGAAAGCGCCAAGAAGAGAAGCAAGTGTCTCTTTTAAAGAATAATTTTTGGAAGATATTCAATTTCAAAAAATTTTATTTTTTATTTTTTAACCCCTCCGGAGATTTCTTTTCAATCCTCTTTCTCAAAAAAAAATAAAATTTAAATTTTTGTTTCTTTTTCTGTTGCGTTTCTTTTGCGCACATGCCTTTTGGCGGCGGCAATAAAAAGAAGAAGCTTTCTTCTTTCTCTTTAAAGCGTCAATACCCCCAACCAATTTCTTTCTTTTTGTTTCCAATTTTTTTCTGCCAGTTAGTGCCTTCTTTTTTTTTTCTATTGTTTTTAATGCCGACAAAATAAAAAGTTGGGATGGTTGTTTTTGGCACAGATTTTAATTTATAAAGAGAAAATTGAGAGATAATAAAAAAGAGGAAGAGGAGGGCTTTACCGTGAACAAAAGTTTCTCTTCTTCTCTCATTTTTTCAAGCTTAATTTTTCAATAAGCTTAAAATGTGCAAAAACTTGATTTTTTTTAAATTTTGCTTCCTTAATAAATTTAAATTAAAAAATATCGACCTCTCATCTTTTTCTTTAAAAATTTCTTTTATTTCCTCTCTCTCTCATTCTTGATTTTATTAATCATCTCTTCATTATATTTAGTAGCAACTGACAATAAAAAAAACAAAAACAATTATTTTATTCAAGTCGAAAAGTCCCTTTCTTTATTTTTTTCTTCGTCGTCCTCAATTTTTTGGAGGTTAATTTTGCCCTACGGGCCCTCATATCTTTAAAACCTTTACTTTTGTCGTGAGAGAGATATATTAAGTAGTCTATTAGGGGGTAGTGGACGGCGTCCTTTTTTCAAAAAACCGCCGCCAAACAACAACAATAACAGCAATAATAACAGCAATAACAGCACTTCCTTCTCCTCGTCCTCCCCAGATATCGGTAGAAGAAGAAAGCAAGCAGCACACTTGTCCCTATCGGCACTGGCGGAAACGACGATGGCAGTAACGATTTCTGAGGTGGAAGGGGGGAGTAGTTTATTTATTTGGTCGCGCGACTTGGAAAGGAGATTTTATTATTTTTTCCTCTAACGTTCTAGTAAATATCTTTTTCAAATATAGACTTTTCTTCTACATTTTTATTTTCTTCCTCTGTATGAAAAATGAGAGGAGAACACGAAAGTAAAGTGCCAAAAAAATAAATTTCTCCTAATGTCCGGCATATTTTTTGTTATTTTTTTATTTATTCACTTTTCTTTTCAGAAGGAACGGAAGAAAAAATTTTTCTTCCTCGTTCTTCCTTGGCCAATAAAAAATTTAAAAAATTATTAATAGGAAAAAAATGGGGGAGATTGGGGTCTAATTGTGACTCTTTAGTTGAGAGTGGAGAGAGAGTAGATCAGTCAAGCGTTGAATATATATTTTTTTGTCCTCAAAAATTTTTTTAACAGATGCGGGCATCGTCCGAAAAAGTGACTCGAACGGACGGCGTCTCGATTTGAAAAAAATGGCATTTTTATTTAAGGACAGTTTTTTTTCATCGCTTTTCTATTCCTCTTTATTTATTTTCCCCTATCTTTTTTTAATTTGGCACTTTTTTTAATTCTTATTTTTTTTCTAGAGTTGGGTTTCGAGTCGGGTCGACGTTCGAGTCATTTTTTCGGGCCGCCCGACCGGGTTTGTTTCGGGCCAAAATTCGGTGCCAGACTCGATCTTTTGGACCGGACGTGGCCCCCAACACTAATTTTTACTTTAAAAAATTTTTAAAAAGCAAAGAATATTTTATTAATTATATTTTTTTAAATAATTATTATTTTTCACTTGTCATTCAAAAAAATTTTCTCTCTTCAAGGCTTCGAGCATCTCATAATGTAACACACTAGTTATCGCCGCCGACAGTTATTTTTTTTTCAAGTTATCTAAAATATTTTCTTCTTCCGTTTTTGAGCAAAAAAAACTTTTTTTGCTTTTTTTGCCTTTAAAAAGTAGAGATTTTAATTAATGATTATTATATATTTTTTTAATTATTAGTAAGAGAAGAAAAAATTTTTTCTACCAAAGTAGGGGAGATGGGGAAGAAAAATAGGTGGTGAGACATCTTATCCTTTTTTTGCCTTTTCTTTTCTTTTTTGGATTTATTTGTAAAATTTAAAGTCTTTTCTGTTATATGTATTTGTTCTACTCTATCATTAGCCACATCCCCTCAATATTAACTATAGATTCATCTTTTAAACTTTTTTGGGGTACTTGTGTAGTTTACCCCCCCCCCCCCCATGAGCAACAAACTGTTTTCTTCTCTCTTCCGTTTCTTTTCTATTCCTTTTATTGGAGAGGTAAAAGGCTTGAAATAAATAAAAATTAAAATAATGACCGAAATTTCAATTTATAAGAAAATTAGGAGAGAGGAAAAATAGGAGATGGGGGGTAAACTACACAGATACCCTTTTTGCTGTCATCCTTCCTTTTTTTTGCAGAATTTTTTTTAAATTTTATCGAGAGTTGATTTTTAATTTGTAATATTTAAATCCTTTGTTTGTATTTTATATTTCGATTTTTATTTTTTATTTTCTGGTATTTTTAAAACACAAATAAATGTCAAATAGTTGTGTTCTAACTAACTTTGTGTTGCTGTTACTTAACTAATTTATTTAAATCTCTGTTAAGAGGTGGGGGAATTAACTGTTAAAAAAATTTTTTTTAATAATTTTTTAAGGGAGGGGGCAAAATAGTAAGAGTGATTGTATCGTCGCTCTTTCAAAATTTGCTGCCACTAAAAATAATTAAAAAAAATAATTTTTTTTAATAAAATTATTAAAATCTCCTCCTCTTTTATTTTCCCCTTTTTCACGTTTTTCCGTTTAAAAACACACAAACTTAATTATTCTACTATAACACTATTAAAACTATAACTACTTTTGCATATATTTAGTTTTGTTGTGTTGCATGTTTTATTTTAAACAAGAAAATGTTTTTTGTCCTTTTCACTCTCTCGAATATTTTTTTTCTTATTTTTAATCACCTTCTCTCTCTAAAATTTTTTTTCTTTTCTCTCCAAAAATTTTTCCAAATTTATTTAAAGCTATCACTTGTTTCTTCCTTTTAAAAATTATCAAGAGGCAGCTGAGGCCCTTTATATATAAATTTAAACAGAAAAGAGAAAGGAAAGAAAAATCAGTAGCAGTTTTAAAAGGGGCCTATTAAAAATTTTATTTTCTTTTGATCTCTGTGCCCTTTTTCTCTCTCCTACTGGTCGGGGCTTGTTATTTATTGACTTAATAATAGTAAGAGGGAGGGATGTTTTTCTCTCTTTCTCTTTCTATTTTTTTGCTATTATTAATTAGCGCTATTTAATGTTTTCTTTGATGTTTGTCAAAAATTCTGATTTTTAGTACTTATGTTTTAATTATGTTTTTCTAAAATTCTGATTTTATTTAATGTTTGTTGTTAATGGTTTTAATGTTGTGTTAATGTTTTTTGTCTATGTTTTTATCATGTTTGTTTAAAATTCTGATTTTGAGAGCCTTTGTTTTCCCCATGTTTGTTTAAAATTCTGATTTTTATATACTATAAAAGCGATGTTAATTTTAACAACTGCCATTAATTAAATTAGTGTTTTTGGTACAAAATTTCATTCTTGTTTGTTAGAATACTTATGGCCCTGATGTATTTTTTTTAATTTTTAATTTTCTTCACAAAAATTAATTTATCAATCAGTTATTTTTTTTTGTAAATTTTCTACTATATCGGAAAGTGTCAATTATTATTTTTTAAAATAATTTCAAAGAAAATATTTTAAAAAATATATTCCCTTTTCCCTTACTGCGCGAGAGGGAGATAGTAAAGGCGCCGACAAAAAACTTGGAAATTTTTTTTTCTAAAAAATTTTTTTTGAATATTTTCTTTTCATTTAAATATTTATTATCTTTCACCTAATTTTTCATTTATTTTTATTTATTTATTTTTCTCGAATTTTCAATTAAAAATTAGTAGAGAGAGGAAATATGTATAATTGGGCGCGCAACTCTCTTTTGGTATTTTTGTTGTTTTTTTTATTCAAAAATCTTTTTTGTTGTTTTTATTTTTCGTTGATTCTGGGATTTTTTAATGGAGATTATTTTTTTATTTTTTAATTTTTGGAATTTTTTTCTGAATTTTTAAAAAATTTTTCCTAAGTAAAAATTATTAATTTTATTAGCAACCCTTTTTACAATTTTCTGTTCAAATTTTTCAATTTTTCAATTTTTTTTAAAATTCTGCCCTCATTTAAATAAATAATATATGTACCTATTTATGTATACAATTAGCGGCATTTTTCCCTTTCATTTTCTTTTGTTTTCTTTTTTTTTCTTTTTTTTTTTAATTTTATCCGCCGCTTCTACCTCTTTCTCTCTTCCTTTTCCTTTTTTTGTTCAATTTTCCCTAAAAATAATTTTGCCCTTTTCCTTCTCCTTTTAATCTTATACCGACGCGCCCCGCAATTTTCAAATTGTTGCTTTTAGAATATAAAAATAAAAATGCCGCTCTTTGCAACATAGTGGGAATAATAAAGGGGAGAAATTAAAATAAGGGATGAACACAACATTAATTACTTATTAAAAACAGGTTTAAGCGAAAATTCTGATTTAATCCATGTTTATTTTTAAATGTGTTTAAATCGTTGTTTGTTTTGTTTCTAAACAAACTAAAATAATTCTGGTTTTCTTTTATTCTGATTTTTATTATTGCATATGTTTTTTTCTAATTCTGATTATGTTTATTTGTTCGCGTGTTTATTTGAAATTCTGGTTTTATTGTTTATGTCTATAACATGTTTACCTAAACTTCTGAAATTTTCCTTATGTTTATTTAGAATTCTGATTTTTAGTAGTCATGTTTGTTTAAAATTCTGATTTTTAGTAGTCATGTTTGTTTAAAATTCTGATTTTTAGTAGTCATGTTTGTTTAGAATTCTGATTTTTATTACTCATGTTTGTTTAAAATTCTGATTTTTAATACTCATGTTCGTTTAAAATTCTGATTTCTAGTACTCATGTTCATTTAAAATTCTGATTTCTAGTACTCATGTTCATTTAAAATTCTGATTTCTAGTACTCATGTTCATTTAAAATTCTGATTTTTAGCACTCATGTTTGTTTAAAATTCTGATTTTTAGTAGTCATGTTTGTTTAAAATTCTGATTTTTAGCACTCATGTTTATTTAAAATTCTGATTTTTATTACTCTTGTTTATTTAAAATTCTGATTTTTATAATACTATAAAAACCCCCCTTAATTTCTACTAAATTTATTCTAGCTAATTTATTTTAAAACCTCTCTCTAGTTTTTAATAGCTATTTGTTATTACGGCGTCCTTTTTTCAAAAAACCGCCGCCAAACACACTACTTCTCCCACTAACTAGTGAGAGAGAACCTGCGCACAATAGCAATTTTTACTACGAGCCATTTATTCTTTTGTGTCCGCGCGACCAACTACTTCCCCCCCCCCCCCTCAATTTTTCTTTTTTCTGTTCCTTTCCTCAATTTTCAATTTTTGTACTTTTTTTTGTTCATGCTCTAACGTTCTGTCCCCGTTGTATTTTGTGTGTATTTTTTTTGCTTTCTAATAAGTGAAAGCAAAAAAGGGGAAGAAGAAAAAAATTGAAGCCAACATTTAGAAAAGCCTAAAAATAGTGGTCAGAGAACATAAATCTTGTGGTCAATTTTTTTTTCATTTTTTTTCTTTCCTCTTTAATGTAAAAAATGAGGGAGAGTTTTAAAAATATTTTTTCACTCATTTTAAAATTTTACTAATTTTTAAAAAAATTAATTTCAGTCGAATTTTACAACATTTGATATTTTCTTCATTAAAAATAAACAATATTCCTCTACGGATATTATAGTGTTTCATCGGTGGGAACAACAACAATTCTCTAAAATAGATGGATACTAGTGTAAATATTCCATCAACAACAACTTCTGCTGGTGGATGTGGTTTATTTTTTTTTATTTTTTATTTTATCTTTTTTAGCAGCAGGGGGAGTTGCAACAACAACATCTACAGCTTATGAAGATTCTTTAAATGATATTAAAGTTTCAATTAAAACGTCTCCAGTACCCAATGAAGAAATTGCTGATGAAGTTAAAGTATTTCGTTCAAATCCTGATGTAAATGATGATGATCCAACTGAAATTGCTGGAAGTTCTGCTGATTTAGCTGAAGATAAAAATGAATTGGCATTTGAAGCAGATATTGAATCGCAGACTAATTATAATAGTTTGTTTGATTTTTTTGATATTTAACTAGGGTTGCCGTTTTCGAGTCGGGCCGACGTTCGAGTCGTCTTTTTCGGGCCTCATTTTTATCGGGCCGACCGAGTGAGTCTTTTTCTGGGCAAAATTCGATGCCCGACTTGATCTTTCGGATCGGACCGGCAACCCTATTTTTAACCTCAAATTTTGTTCCTTTAGCTCAACATCAAGTCAATCCAATATATACTAATCCTCCCCATTTGGATTGGCCAAATGCTTTGCATAATTGGCTTACAGCACACTTACTTTCACCTGTATATGTTGCTAATCAAAGAATTGCTGCAATGGCACAAGCAGCAGCTCAAGCAGGTTTAATTTTGTTTGTAAAATAATTTAATTTCATATAATTTAAGCATATGTTGCTAATGTTGCCAGTGCTGCTCAATATATTGCTAGGCATTCACCCAATTTTGCGAATCTTGGACCGCAGTTTGGAGGTATTTTTTAAAATTTTTTTGGTACTTTTGGTATGAGATAACCCACAAGTACCCTTTTTTGATTAAAAAATTTTTTTAAATTTTTTTGCAGCTCCATTTGAACGCCCCCCAACTTTTTCTATGGGTGGTCAAACTCCTAACAATAATTCCAATCGAAATGGTTATTCAATTCAACAACATATGGCAAGTCCAATGTCTTCACTTGGTGGTGTTTTAGGTGGTATTTCTCTTTCTACTGATAGAGGAGACGTTAACAATTCTGCCTCTTCTCGTAAACATAGTTTGGAACAACAACAAAGACACCATCAACAACATTCGAATAATGGACGTTTTTCAATAAATACACCATTAAAGTAGGAAAAATATTTTTTATTTTTTAAAATTTATTTTGTAGAGTTCCAAAACGTGAAAAACTTGAACACAAAATTAAAGAAAAAAATTATCACAACAATGGGAAAAGTTCAACTACTAATAGTGATGGAAAACATGAACATATTAAGAAGCCAATGAATGCTTTTATGTTGTACGGTTTTTATTTAAAAAAAATTTTAAACCAGACTGATCTAGTCATATTAGGGATGTCACTGGTCACTCGAGCTCCTATCTAATTTTTTTCTCAACCCGTAACATTCCTTCATAGTGACCCTGACCGTCATTTTGGTAGAATTATTGTTTCAGATTTTTAGCTCTGAAATTGTTTCTTCATCCAGTAAAAACTTTATTCTGTCAAGAACCCAGCTTTGGCATTTTTGATGGGGTTTTATGACTTCGGACTTTATTCCTTCTGCCCTGCCCAGTAAACAAGTCCGTACCAGATTATGACCCCGAATTTGACATTTTCAAATAAATCAGGGTTTTACGTTTTTAGATTTTTAGCCCTGAAACACTAACTGTTCATTAACGAAGCTTTAAAAATCCGATACTAAAAATATTTTTTCTAAAGGTTTATGAAAGAAAATCGTCATAAATATATGGATGAATGTGCTGATAAACGAAAACAATCAGCAGAATTAAATAAAGAATTGGGACAAGTTTGGCAAAGAATGACTAGAGATGAACAACAACCATATTATGATATGGCAACATTAAAACGTGAAGAACACCAACGACTTTATCCAAATTGGACAGCACGTGAAAATTATGCAATACATAAAAAGGCTAAAAAGCGTAGAACGAGGGAACGTTCATTAGGTTTTTTTTTTTGAAATTTTTAAAAAATTTTGAAAATTTTCCTTTTTAAAGAAAATAATGATTCAAAAAAGTGTCGTGCACGTTTTGGTGTTGATAATCAAATTAAATGGTGTAAACATTGTAAACGTAAAAAGAAATGTTTAAATGTTCTTCGTGATTCTGATTCGCCTGCACAGGTTTTGATTTTTTTGAATAATTTTTTTAATGTTGAGCTTCCCTTTTTGGAATCCTTTTTGGATAAGCCTCAATACCCTTTACTGGAACTGCCCACCTACTGGAACTGGGCTCGATCCTCGAAACATTTTATTGGTCCCATTCTGTTTCGTTTACTCCTGGGCAGGGTTTTGAACTCTCCCAGTACAATTCTTTCTCCAAGGCTATAAACTGAGGGGTAGTGACGACCGGTTAATAATCCCCTTTGACGGTTCAACTAGGGAGGAATTTTGAAAACTGACAATGAGTCCCACCGGCTATCATTCTCTTTTTTTTCATCCAACTTTCTTGGCCTTTTTAAAATTTTCTTTTTCTAAAAGGTTTCCTCTACTACAAATCCAACCACTCCATTACATCATCATCAACAACAACAACAAGGAGGGCAGAGCAGCAGCAATAATAACAATTTAAATGGACATCATAATTCACAAACTTCACAATTTTCAAATTTATTTGGTTTAAATTTATCATCCCAACAACCCCAACATCTTCTAATAAAACAACAACAATTAGATTCACCTCTAAGTTCACAAAAAGGGCAATCAACCAATAGTGAATTAAGCCGTTGTTCTTCTACAGCAAGTAGTGATGGTGGTGGGGATGAATCTATTGAAGAAGAAGAATCTGATATGGATGAAGACAACAAAGCTGATATTAAACAAAATTTAATGATGGAGGGGCTAGAATCACCAATAATGTCTAAACAACAACAACATGGTGGTGGCGGTGTAAATGTTAAAACGTTAGTTTTTTTAAACTTTTTAAAAAATGAATAAGTAAGGAAATGACGGTTGTCTAATATTTTTTAAACGCTTTAAAATAGGTGTAGGTCTAAGGTTGATTTTAAAAGTGGTGGTGAATATGTACGAATTTTTTTCTTAAAAAATTTTTTCCCCGAGTAGATCAATCAGTATTTTTGGTCATCTAATAATAACTGCCAAGAGGTTGACGGTTCCTCCCGGGCTAATATTCTCGTTTTTTTGTTAAAAGGTTGAGTGGGATTTTTCAACCCAATTTGTTTTTATATTTAAGAGAGTTTGATGATTTTTTTAAACAAATTGGAAAAATGGAACAATTTTAAAAATAAAAATTAAAAAAAATAAATTAAAAAAAATTGGAAAGAATAAAAAACATAAAAAAATATTTTGGCAAGTTAAAATTTTTTACAAATTTTGTCTTCTTTAAAAAAATTTTTTTCTGCTTTTTCTTCTAACATTTTTCTAGAAGCTTTTTTTTTGGTACATCATAAAATTTACTTATAACTTCTCAAAAATTTTTTAAATTAAATTATTAATTGACCGGAACGGTTTATTTTTTTTGGTTTGAGAGCGCGCAAAGATTAAATTAAATTTTTGAATTTTTTTATAAATGCGGAAATGAATTTTTTTAATGTTTTGTATAAAACTTGTTTTACAGAAATGTTTGCTTTATATAATTTATTATATACAAAAATGAAAAAATTTTTTTTTCAGTTTAAAAATGGAAACAACACCTACCTCTGACTCTAAATTACTTTCTCCACATACACCACCTTCACATTTACGTCGTAAACACCCTCAACAACACAACCAACAACCTCTTTTAGTTGATACACCCTCAAAACAACATTCATCTTCTTTGTTTGGTTCAAGTAATACTAATGATGTTAATAATTTATTAGTTGCTGCAGCTGCTTCAACATTATTGCCTCACCATCATTCTTCACCATTTTCTTCTCCTTCAAATAATAATCCAAATTTACAACAACAAAATATTCCGTCCGCCTTTCAAATGCCTCCACCAACAACACCTACTGGAGGAGCAGGAGCAGGTTTTCCATTTCAACCAAGTCCTTTCTTCCCTTGGAATGGGCTAAACTTTATGTCTTCATTTATGAAACATTAAAAATTTTTTTGTGATGAATTAATTAGAGATTTGGAGGGAATTGAAAGGGCCAAGATATTTGGTTAAAATTTTTTGGTTTTCTTGGACAAGATTTTCTGGACCAATATTTTTTTTAGTTTGAAATTTGAGAAAAAATTTTTTTAGGACCAGAGGTGTTTCGAAATTTCGATTTTCGAGGTTTTTTTCTTTCGATTTTCTATTACCTTTTAAATAACCCAAACCGATACCTTATAAGTTCGGTGAACCAATAAGGAAATTTAATGGACTGCCAAAACTATTTTCTCCAAAATCTAAAATTTTTCATCTCTTAAAAATAAGCCTTTCTCTTTTTATTTTTTTAAATTTTTTTACACAATGCTAGAAACTTGGAATTTTTTCTCTCTCAATTATGTTTCTCTATTTATTTATTTTTAGGCTCAACTATTGTTTTTTGTAATTATTTATTTTCAATACTACCGTATATACTCTATTAATTACCCTGGGTAATTATTGTTTCGACTTCTCTCTGGAGGGGGTAATTAATCGAGAGGATTGGCTAAATTTTGGGTAAAATTGACGATTTTTTCAATATTTTTGAAATTAGAGAAGGAAAGGGAGGGGGTAATTATTAAAGAGGGTAATTATTTGAGGAGGGTAATTAATAGAGTATATACTATATTTTATATTTTAACAAAACGGGCTCACACATGTACTTTTTTTGTAGGCCATTCTCTCATTCCTTTACTATTGTTTATTATTCTTTCAATTTTTTAATTTAATATTTATGCCCAAAAATTGCAAATTTTTGCCTAGAAAAAAATTAAGAGAGCCGTCTATTTATTTTTTAATTAAAAAATTGCAATTTGTATATTTTTAAAAATTAAATTTTTTTCTCGACAGGGTTTTCTCTCTCCCTCCTCTTTTTTATTTATTTGTTATTGACTTTTTATTTATCTTTCCTTTAAATATTTTTTAATCAGGAAGAAAAATTGATATTTATTTTTTTTTAGAATTTATAGGCTAAAATTCAATTTTTATGAAATATATTTTTTATTTAATCGCCTCTTTGTTTTATATAATTTTCTGCCTTTTGTGTTTATGTTTAAAATGGAGTGAATTATTAAAAAAAATTATTTTGGTTATTTTTAAATTGAAAAAATAATTAATTCACTCTTTTTAATTTAAAAATTCAAAAAATAATTTTCACTTGATATTTTTTTTCTTTTGATATTTTTTTAATTATTAATTATTATATTATTGAATTTTAAAATTTTTTTTTCAAGTTGATAAAAATTGAAAAGACAATAACTTTGTTTTTTTTTAAATTTAATTAGGAACATTTAATTAAATATTTTTTTATTTTTTAAATTTATTTTTTAATATTTTGATTAAAAAGCCTAGAATGTTTCTGTTGTTGCTGTGCCTCATCATCATTCATCAAATAATTTAAAAACATCTTTAACAACAACAACAACTGAATAACGACAACAAAACAACAAAATTTAATTTTAATTGACAATGTTGGACTGAGAATGACTCAAACGAACATGTTTCGGTTTAGGTATAGTTGTTGTATTTTTTCAAACAAATAATTGTTTTCAGAATTATTTTCCGGAAGGTTTATGAAATTGGAGTGAAAATAGAAACATTCTGGTTTTTATGTTTTTATAAAATTTTGAAAAATACAAAACATGTTTTTGAGTAATTTTTGTTCTTCCAATAAGCCTGTTTCTGGAAAATAATTCTGAAAATGTTTTTTAAAAATTCTGAAAATCTAAAACATGTTTTATCTGAAATTGAAACAAAACATTCTGATTTTGTATGTTTTTATAAAATTCTGAAAATAACAAACATGTTTGAATAATGTTCTGGGAAAAATTCTGATTTTTTATGTTTTTACAAAATTCTGATATAAAATTCCGATAAAACATGTTTTAAATTAATTCTTATGTTTGTAAAACATGTCAACATGTTTTACATTAATTCTGAAAAAAAAACACCAGCACGTTTTGTTTAGCATTTATCTTAGGCTTATTTAAATATAAATGTTGACCCTTTTACTATTTTGTAGCTGAAAAATAACAGTTTTCGGTTTAAATTTATTTACAACTACGCAAAAAATATATAAAAAATTTATTGAGTGAATTTTTAAAAAATATTTTTAAGGTCTCTATTTTTTCTTTTTTTTTAATTTATTTTCTTCCTTTGAGAAATGTCATCTAGGCTCATTACAACGTCCATCATCATTTCCACCTTTTGTCATTACTTGAGTATTGTTCTTTAATTGAACATTTTCTTGATCATAAAAATAACTTGAATCATTTTCTTCTTGAGTATTATCCCGTACAAACAAAGCAAAAAGAACTTTGTCTTGCTAAAAAGGGGAAAATAATTTTTTTAATTTTATCTTAAGAAAAGGAGGACAATTTGTCCCAAGAATAATTTTAGTAAATTTTCGAAAAATTTTTTAGGAAAAAATTTTTCCTAACCTGTAAACGAAGCATTTGAACAGATGCTCGTTTATATCCCTCCAACTCTTCTTTCCAAAATCGTTGTTGTGAAGCTCTAGCTTCAACAGAAAGTTTACTTGCAAAAAGTGTTAGAATAAAGCGTGCTGGTCTAAAATATAATTTTTTTGAAATTTTTTATAAATTTTAAAATACTTGTATATATTCAGAACTTTGCGTGTTTGCTCAAAAAGACATCCTCGCCGATGATTTGTTTCAAATGAGGCATAGCAAAATTCAGGCTCTGGAGTTATATGGATGGTGACGTACTCATCATGGTCAATTACTCCGTTCATGCCTGGTAAATTTTTAATAAATTGTTTTATTTTTAAATTAAAAATACAGTCGGAAACCTAATTGTAAAATACTCCCGGAATTGGGTACTTTTCCGTTTAGGGTACGATTTTTTCAGTCTTATGGGGCAGAGGTGTTCCTTTGCTTTTTAAATGGGCTTTTGCCTTTTCGTCATAAATCAGTTTCGGCATACCCTTGGTATTGGGGTTCTCTTGTAATTGAGGTCCCAACTATATTAATAAAAATAAAACCCAACTGTAACCAACGGGTTTAAAAAGCTCGTCTTGTATTAAAGTTTCTCGAGGAAGTAAATCAAGAATTCCGGAACGCTAAAAATTTTTTAAGAAATTTTTTTGGATTTTTAATCGTTTTAAATTCTACTTTAGTGCATTCAGCAGCACCATTTGGACATTCTGCCCAGCTATAAATTCGCAGAACATCAGCAGGGATGCCAGTCATTTGCAGCTCCAATGTGTGGTCAGGCAACTTTGGTTGGTGTGCGGCAATGATTGCTTTTGGTGGAGATGAGGTGAGTGTATATAAATACCTTTAAAATATTTTGATTTTTAAAAAATTGAGTAAATGGGCTCACCAGCGATCCTGGTTGAGTGGGCCCATACAATAAGCAGTACCTCCTAAAAAATTTAAAAAATGAAAATAAAGTCAGGGTTTTAGTTGAGTACTTTTTTGGGTTTTTTTGGTTCATTAAACTCGATTTATTTTTAAAAATCAGTGGACGTGTTTTGGGGTTTATATTTGGGATTTGGGGTTTTATTGTTGCTATTCTTGTATTATCAATTTACTGAAATTTTTCTGTACGTTTGTCCTACGACTTTTTTCTGGGCTTAATGGCCACGCGCTTAATGCGCCTTTTCTTTTGGGCCTACGGTCCATGCTTTCTATTTTTCTGTGGTCATTGTATCACACTTCTTTAAGATTTATTTTTAATTTAATAAAAGCACCTTCAAAAAATCCATCAAGTAAACTAATTTCCTCATCAAACGTAGCATGTAGTTGAGGGCAAAAAAAATTTTTGCGTGAATAGTAAACCTAAGAAAAATTAAAAATTTTTTTAATTTCTAACGGAATTTTTGGGTTACATTAGTAACAATATCCATTCTTCCATAAATTTGTGCCAATTTAAGCAATTCACTAATAACAAGTAAAGGACGTGTTTGTCCACAAGTTTTAAGTATTAGGCGGCGATCAGATACAAATAGGCTGCTTTCACTAGAAAGAAATTTTTAAATTTTTTTTTCAAAAAATGGGAGGGGGGAAAGGGGATTTTTGTGATTTTTTTTGAAATTTTTTTGAATTTTTTAATTGAAATTTTTTTCAAAAAATTTTTTTTTAATTTTTGAATTTTTTTTCACTAAAATCTTTTTGATTTCCCCCACTTTTAATTTTTTTTATTTACCTCAATAAATAAGAGTCAATTTGTTCAGTCCTCAATACTTGTAATATTTTACATCCAGCAATATCCATCAATCTGTCTAATTCATTCTTTGGAATTTTTCGAAGAGAAGAATTTTTCTCTTTACCAAAAAACCAAATTTCTAACAATTTTTCTGCTCCCTCAAAAAAATTTTCTGAATTTTCAAATTGTTGTTGGGTTGTTGTTGTGGAGGGTGGTGGAGGTAGGGGTGACTTTGACTGCTGGTCTGGTGCTAAATCACAAGTCATTTCGACCATTAGATTTTTTTAAAAATATTTTTTAGATCTAGAATTTTTTTTAGAAATTTTTTTAATTTTTTTTAATTTATTCAAGTCTCGGGTTAAACAGGGTTTTGGTATTTTTAAATTTTTTTATAAAATAACGAATGAAAAATTTTTTTTTAAATTTTTTAACAGTATGTTTTTGTGTGTTTTGTGGTTTTATTTTTATTATTTTATATTTTTTTGAAGTAGTCATAAGGTTTGTTAAAATTCTGAAATTTTTCTGGAATTGTACTGACAAATGAGTGTATGTACATAGTTGTTAACAAAAGTACAAAAATATTTTTAAAAGTAAATATACTTAAGCTCGTGATTTTTTTTGTTTTGTATGTTTGTGTTTGAGCTTTTTTAACCTCTATTTTTTAGTGAATTAAATGTGAGATTTTTGTATGTTTTTTAAATGTTTTCTTGTTGGAATTGTAGGGGAAAAATTTAAAAAATAGGAAAGAGGAAATTGAAAGAAGAATAAAAATTATTTTTGCATTAATATTATTTTTGAGAGAATTTTTTTTAATTTTTAAGGGACAAAAAAAATTTTTTTGGTGAATATTTTTAGTAGTATGCAGAGGTGGGTCGGAATTCCGACTTCCGGCGTTTTTTTCCTTCCGATTTTTGATTCCCGAAAAAAATCTTGATTTCCGATTTCCGACTTTTGAGCCAGTTGCGATTTTCGGCTCTGCCGATTTCCGACACCTCTGACTGTTCCGACCCACCTCTGGTAGTGTGTGTTTGTGAAATAAAAAAAAATAAAAATATAAGATGGGGTATTTTTCAATAGGAAATGTGGGTAGTTTGACAGGGTTTTTTTAAAAGAAATTGCGTAATGGTAGATCATGAATCTTTCTCAAGTTTTTTTTTCAAGGATCTCATATAAAATTGAAAAAATAATATTTTTTAGATACTTGAACATTGTTTTGTTAAATTATGAAACATTTTTTTAATTGTTTAGGTAAAAAAGGAGTGTGATTTTTGGTATGTAAATAAGTGTGATGTGTATTAAAAATAGTTAACAATGGAAAGGTTGAATTTAAAAAGAAACACATACAAATAATAGAACAAATAAAATATTCGAGTATTTTCAAGTGTTTTTGTGTGTTTTTTGATCATTTGATTTTAATAATGTAAAATTCTGATATTCTTCCGGAATTGTTTATATATGTTTTTCCGGAATTGTTATATGTATAGTTTCCGGAATTGTTATATAAATGTTCAGAATTTTGTTACAAAGAATTCTGATTTGGTCAAAACAAATAATTTATAGGCAAAATACATTCTGGTTTTTAAAAGGGAAAAATACATACAATTGCGGAAGAATGTATTTTCCGGAAGAATTTCGAGGAGAGATTTTGTATTTTGTGTTTTTTTGTGTTTCTTCCTTTTTTAAAAATCAGAATTTTTAACAATGTATTTTTCAGAACAAAACACTGTGGGTTTTTATAAAAATAATTGAATTTATAAGTAATAATTAGAGGTAGTAAGATTGGTAAAAAAATGACCACCATCAATAATATAATTCTTGTTTAATTGATAAGGAATGAATATATACATTTTATAATAATGAAATGTTATTACTAATACAAATGTTGTAGATAATTTGTATATTTTTGTGTGTTTATTTGTGTGATAAAAATTGTTTTGTGTAAATTATTGAAAGATAAATGAGTGTGGGAGGGTGCTGGTTTATTTTTATTTTATTTTGAAATTCTGATTTGTGTATTTTTTTCTTGTTTTTTAGAATTAGAATAATCAGAATGTATTTTGTGTCTTGTATTTTTGGAGGTGAAAATTCTGATTTGTATTTTCTTTGGTTTAAATAAAATCAGAATTATTAGAATGTGTTTTTGGAGGAGGGTAAATTCTGGTCTGTATTTTTTCTTTCTAGAAATCAGAATTTTTATAATTTATTTTCAGAACAAAACATTGGGTTATGTTTAGTTTTTTTTAAATCAGAATCAGAAATGTATTTTTAGAGGTGAAAATTCTGATTTGTATTTTTTTGTTAAAATAAATCAGAATTTTTTTGAATGTATTTTTGGAGAGGGGAAATTCTGATCTGCATTTTTCCCTTTTGAAAATCAGAATTTTTGGAATGTATTTTAGTAACGTATTTTAATTATATAAATTCTGATTTGTGTGTATCTATAGTAATTTTTAAAAAATCATGAGAATGTCTAGTGAATGAATGATTTATATTTATATACACCTTTCTTTTTGTTCTTTTTTTTCAGATCAAAGTTTAAGTTTGAACATTTGTGTGTGTGTGTAAAGTTTTTATATTTTTTACTATTTTAGGGACACAATTAAAATATATTTTTTTATTTGAAAAGAAGGAAGTATTTTTTTCCGTTTAATTGAACAAAAAGAAAAAATTTTTGTTTCAATTAAAAATTACAAAAATTTTTATATTTTAAGTATTTATCTCTTTAAATAGAAATTAAATTAAATTGTAGTTTATGATAGATGGTGGTGGGAGAGTGTAGGGGGGATTATGGGATGAAGGAAAAATATTTTTTTTGATCTTGAAATTTTTTTTTAAATAAATTTTGGTTTTTGAGGGAGTTTATTAGATGGAAAACAAATTTTTTTATTTTATAAAATTTTTAAAATTTTTATTTTTATTAAAATTCTCAAATTTTTAAATTTTTTAAAGTTTAAAAATCAATTATGAAAATTAAAAGAATAAAAATCAGTCAAAAGTAAAATTAGTAAGGTAATCTCTTTTTTTCGTGTTTGTCTGTGTGTGTGTTTGTCTTTTAAAAATTAGAGGGAAAGCTTAACGTTCAAGTGTGATCAATATAAATTATAAAAAAATCCGTAGCGTGTTTGTCAGCATAGGAAAAATTTTTTTAAAAAATTAATGGAGGGGAATAAATGAGGGGAAAGGAGGGGAGAGGGGAAAGAGGGAGGAAAGGAGCTTTCCCTCTAAAATTAGATTTAAAAAAATTTAAAAAAAACGGAGACACGCACACCTGTTTATTTTTTAAAAGAGAGGGTTTTCTTTAATGATTAGTGTAAGCCTTATTTTATTTTCTAGTGAAAAAAGGAGGGATGTTTGGGGGTAATCTGTTCTTTCTCTCATTTTATTTATCTGAATATTGATCTTTGCGAGGATATATGTTTTTTTATTAATTGATCCCTTTTTATGTGTTTCGTTTTATGTGTGCTTGACCTTGATGTTTTGAGACTGCTTTAACTTATGGAATGATTAATATTTTAAAAAAATATTTAATATGAGTCGATAGAGAATTAAATAAGCTATAAAATGAAGCTTAATTTTTAATTTTATTTAAATTGTAAAAAAAGTTGTGACTGGAAGAGGACTGAAAAGGTGTGGTGTTTTGAAGCTTTTTGTGTGTATTTTTGAGTGTTTTTGGAATCAAAACTAGTTTAATTTTTAAAATTTAATTTTTATTTTTAATTTTATTTTGTAGAGAATTTAATTATCTGTCGAAAATTATTAAATTTATTTTGTGAATATTTTTTTGAATATTTTTTTATTTTGAAAAATTTAAGTAGCTACTGATTTGTGAGTGTTTTGTGTTAATTAAAAAATTAATTTAAATTTTTTTTATTTTCCTCGTTTATTTTTCTTCTTTAATTCACATCAAAATCGTTCAATTTCTCGATTAGTAACAATATTACCAACTTGAGGCGGTAGTATACCAGGAGAAACTTTAGTTGCAGCAGAGCGTTGTGAACCTGAATGTGGGGGAAGGGCACCAGCTCCACCCCCACCATCACTTCTACTTCTTAAAACAGTAACACCATGAACTTGGGTTACTCTAGAAGGTTCAAAAATTCTAAGAAAAAATAAGGGAAGAGTTGGGGATTAAAAAATTAAAAACTTGTAAAAGAGTAGAATGCAGTCATTTCGAATAGTTCGGTTTATACAAAGAAAAATGAATGGAGAAATACCTGAAAATTTAAATTAGAGGGATTTTAAGTAGGGTTATTGGTGACTGGTTTAATTGATGCCTGTGGGAGCAGTTCAATTAGATAGGGGAATATTTAAGGAGCTACAGTCTTAATGATTAACCGGTCACCAACAGCCTTATAGTTTTAAGTTTTGGGGAGAGAAGATTGTGGGTAGAAAATGAAAAGAAATGGGAAAAATAAATAGAAGAAACTTGCCATGATTTATGAACCTTAAAATTATGAGAATTTTTTATTAAAAATTTTTTTTTAATTTACCAAACAAATTCAGCAAGTATAATAAGTGATTCAGTTACGGGTATCATTTGCATTAAAACATAGAGGGAACACCCAACCAAATGAATAAAACTTAGAATTAATACTTGAATAAAGCTCTAGAAAGAGGGAGAAATTAAAAAAAAAATTTATTTTAAGAGGAACCATCATTTGAAGTTTTGTAATCCCCAAACCCCCAACTGCCCCACGCATTTTCCACCGAATTCCAATAAGAAAGAGAATGTAAATTACGGGAACGGAACCTCCAATAATCCAATCATGAAGTGTGTGAGTTAATGGGTGATACTAGAAATAGGAGGTTAATTAAATTAAAAATAATTTAAGAATTTTAAGAATTTTTTTACTTCATCAGCAGCAATATAGCCTTGATAGGGATTAAAAAAGTAGGCAAAGTAGATACTGTTGAATAGGCTGGGGTTCTGAAAATAATTAAATAGTATATCAGAATTTATTTTATAAAAATTCCGGAGAATAAACATTTTCCGGAAATCCGGAAATATAATACATTCCGGAAATTACTTTATCTATTCTAATTTATTATTTTTCCGGAAAATAAACATTTTCCGGAAAATGGAAAAATACATTCCGGAAATTATACTTTACTTATTCTACATACGTACAATTTTTCCGGAAAACACTTTTATATAAATTTTAAAGTTTTGTATTTTTCCGGAAGGTTTATAATAATTCTGAAACAAACCACAAAAAATAGCCAATACAAGCCATAAATTGTAGTTGCACCAAGCCATATCCAAACTCTATTACCTATAAATTTTTGTGTTTTTATTTTTTGTATTTTTTGTGTTTTTATGTGTTTTAATTTTGTGTTTTATTTTTGTATTTTTTCTGTGTTTTTTCTATTTTTTCTGTGTTTTTACCTTCAAAAAGTATTTGTGTTAATTCAGAACATAGAATATCCATACAACGATTCAAGGCAAGTAAAGTACTTGCTGACATTTCACATGAATAGAAGACTTGAAAAAATTCTGATTTTAATTCTGATTATTTTTAATTACAGTCATTAGTTGCTCCAGTAATAAAAGTAATTAAAGGGTTTGTGCAATAAACAGAACCATTCAAAGCAAGTATTGGGGCAAGTATTCCTAAGCTCCAGAGAATTCCAAAGTCCATAACGCCACAATATAATAAAATTCTGTAGCAGGGATTGCCGTCTTTCTGTTGTTTCCATAGTGAGTACATGCAGGGGATGTATAGGAGCTTGAAAATGGGGAAGTGAGGGTTGTGAGAAATTTTTTGCAAATTTTTGAGATTTTTTTAGAGATTTTTGAATTTAAAAATTTTTTTTTGAAATTTTTGGGGGTTCTTTAATTTGAAAATTTTTTTTTAATTTTTTGAAAAATTTTTTTGAAAATTTTTTTGAAAATTTTTTTTGAGAAAAATTACATAAATAATAACGCAAAGTATGATAGTCACATATGACACTATCCAATGTTTCTGTCTTCGTTCCAAAGGTACCGAATCAACATCAATATTTGAACAATTAAATTGTGTTTCCCAAGCAGTATAATCAAATATTAGGTGATATAGGGAATACATTTTTAATTTGATTTTTTAAAGATTTTTAAAGTAGCTTTTCTAAACATGCAAATAAATAAAGCGTTCAAAAAGCTGTAAAAAAATTTTTTTCTTATTTTTCAAATTAAAATGCTAAAGCCTCAACTAAAAACAACTAAAATTGAAAATAAAGCCCTTTTAATTGCCCAATATAAAAATGAATAAAAATAATTATTTTTTGAATATTTTTTTTAATTTATGCTTAATGGTCGTTGGTCAATTGCAGGCAATCCCCCACGAGATTTTTTTTAATTTTAAATAATTTTTTAAAAATTAAATCTGCATAATTGTTTTTTTTTATTTTAAATTTACATTTTTTTAATTTTTATTTAACAAAAGGAAAAATTTTTTTAAATTTTTTTTTGGTTTGATTGGTGAGGGATTAAAGGAGAAGGGGATATAATGGGGAAGGGGAAGTGGAAATAAATATTAGAATTTTTTTGGATTTGTTTGAAATTCTTTTTGGAAAAATTTTTTTCTTAATTGTACTTTTTATTGTTTTGATGGAGAATTTAAATTAGCTAAATTAAATTTAAAAAATTTTTTTTATGGAAAAATGTTATTAGCCTTTAAAAAGCCTTAAAACCTCTTTGAACTTAAGTTTTTTTATCATAACATTTTTTTAAATTTTGATAAAATTTTGATTTTATTTTTATTAGATAGCTAATTAAATTCTCTATCAAACTGTTTTTAAATGGTATGAAAAGGTTTAGGCGTTCTTGAGTTATAAGGGTTTGAGTGAGTGAAGGTTTTGAATGAAATATGTTTTAGGTGTGTGTCAGAAGTTGGGTTGAATTGGCTTGAAAAATTTTTCTAAAATTTAAATAAAAATAGAGAATAAGGGGAAGTATTTAAATATGCCAAAAAATAATTAAAAGATTTATTTTAAGTAAATTTTTAAATAAAATTTTTTTATAGTTAAAACTGCGTGTTTAATTTTCACACACAAAAATGCGTGTGGCAGTGCTAGTAAAGTATTTTTTAAACTGTATAAAAAGTTAAAAAATTGGGGAAAAATAATTTTGTATTTGTAAAAAGCTAGTGTGAGATCCAAATTAAGAAATTTTTTTGAAATTTTTTTTCGATTTTTTTGAAATTTTTTTTAGTTTTTCTTCCGCATCTTTAGTGATTTTTTTCTAATTTTTTTCTGATTTTTTTCTAATTTTTTTCTGATTTTTTTCCTAATTTTTTTTCTTGATTTTAACACAAAGGACATGTCAAACATTTATTTAAAAATAAAAAAATATATAATATTCCAATAGACGCCCATTAAAAAAAGCTAGTAGTAAATGTAGAGGCGAGTGGTTTTTATGAGGGGATGAGCGACTATTAGAATAAATTTAAAAAAATAAATTATACAGAATTGTTTATAGTTTTGAAATTTAATACATGGAAGCTTTATTATAAAGCGAAGCAAGTACTAGCTCAAAAACATTTTTAAGCACTAATTCCATTTGGTCAGTATTAGTTGCGCATGTTCTGTGAGCGTAAACTTGTTTGCTAGGGTTTGAGTTCATTGCCAAAAAATTTTGTTGAATAAAATCTAATTGGTCTGAATAGCTGTTTGAACCTGTTGGGAGGGGAATTTTCAATTTTAAAATGTGGCAAGACCCACCCTCCTGCCAAAGAAGGGGTGGGCTTTATAACTCTTGAATGGATGGACCGTTCGAAAAGATTTTTAGGTCATTCGATAGAGGATTAAATTTGCTACAAAATAGTGGAAAATAAAAATTTTAGATTAATACATGAAGAAGTTGTAGTCGAAAAACTGACATTTTTGGGTATTTTTGATAGTTTTTTGGCCATAATTATTTTTAAAATTTATTTGGAGATTCAATTCCTTTTTTATCTTGTAGAAAATTTTATTCTCTATCGAATGTACCAAAAGAATTTTTAAAAATTTATCCCGTCTTGAGTTTAAAATTTTTAATTTCCAACCACTATAGCTTGGGAATAGCTGTTTTATACTTTTCTTCCCAGCAATTTTTTGTTCAAATAAATCAGTTTTGTTGAGAAATAAAATCATCCCAGTGTTAATAAACCATTTGGCCATACAAATTGATTTAAATAAATGTAAGGATTCGATTAGGCGATTCTTTAAAAAAATTTTGAAATTTTTGGAGGGGGTTTTTACTGTATTTTCATCCTCTTCGAGTGTTTGATCAAATTCACTAACTGCAGCAACAAATATAATAGCTTGAACGTTCTTTAAAAATTTTTTTTTAATTTAAAATTCAAATTTTTTAATAGTACATCAAAACAATGAATCCATTTTCGACGTTCATTTCTCTTAAAAAAATTTTCTTTTTGAATTTTTTTTAAATTCTTATTTTTTTTTGCCTTACCCGTCCTCCAACATATCAAATATTCTATTTTTATTTATTTTTATTTTTTCGGAAAGTATTATCTGAAGTAACATTTTCTGTTAATAATAGTATCCGGAAAAATAACTATAATTTTAAGAAAAATAATTTCCGGAAAATTCATTCCGGAAAATACATCCGTTAATAATAATATCCGGAAAAATAACTCTGATAATTTCCGGAAAATATGTTCTGTTTAATATTTTTTTCTTACTTGTCCTCCAACATCAAATACTCGAAAAGGAAACCGATTTACATTGAATTGGACCTTTGAAAAAAATTTTTTTTTGGAAATTTAAAAATATTTTTTATTACCTCAACAATTCCACTAGTTGGAACTCTTAATAAAAGAATATCCTGAATAGTAGGGACATAATTAGATTGACTTATTCTGTCTATGGAGTTGAAGAAACTGAGAAAATTTAGGGAAATTTAAGAAAAAAATTTTAATTTTATCTCTCAACTGTGGCAAAGATTCTTGCATATGAAACTGTCCAAGTTTAGGTAACACTTGTCTGTGTAATGCTGGATCTGTCCAAAATTGTTTTAGGGCAAAAATAAATTTTGGGAGTTGAAAAGGCTCTGAATAAGTTAAACAATGGCTTAAGTCATCGATAGCCATCTTCAAAAAAATTTAAAAAAATTTGAAAATTTTTTCAAAAAATGCCTCAGTCTCTGTTAAATCCCATCTATCAATTAAAGTGCTAGAAATTTGTAGAAGCCGTTCTACAGCTAAAACAAAGGTGGAATGAACATTTGTTCGCCACTTGATCCTTTCCTCTTCAGAATTGAAATTGTTTGTGTGTAGTATTCTTAAGGAAAAAATTGTTATAATTTTCCGGAAGGATATAATTCCGGAATATATACAGTCTATTATATGCTTCCGGAAAGTATATTGTCAGAGTTATACCTTTTCCGTTAATAATAATCCGGAAAAATAATTTTAATAATTTCCGGAAAAGTTTCCGGAAAATACATTCTTTCATATTTTAGTCTTCCGGAAAGTCTCTGAAATATACTCTTTCCGGAAAATATATACTCATTGTATTTTTCCGGAAAATACAAAACAAATAAAAAATACAAACTGCATTTGTTTAAGCATTGTGCTCTTTCCGCTTGCAGCAGCACCTTTTTAAATTAAAAATACATTGTATTTTTTGTATTTTTTTGTATTTTTTTAAAAGTTTATACCTAAAAGAAGCAATTTTAATGTCTTCTTTTCTTCTTTAAAATCCTTTAAAAAATTGTTTCTAAATTTTTATTAATGATTTTTTATAATTTTTTACCTCAATCAATTGTTTATCTAGTGTATCTTTGTTGAAGCAATTTCCCATTTTTACGGGGGGAATTTTTAGAAATTTTTTAAAAATTATTTTTTAATGATTTTAGGAATTAAATTAAAAAAAATTTTTTCCTGCCACAAAATTTACAAATTTAAAAATAAAAATTTTTTTTGTGTTAAATAAAACTTCCATGGGTGGTCTTAGGGTAATTTTTTAACGGAAATGTATTTTTAATTTACGTATTTATTTAAATTAGAAAAACAATTTAGGTAGTAAAAATGGATACCAATTTTATTTTTAATTTCTTTTTTTTTTCTTTTAATTTTTATTTTCCTTCTTTGCGTGTTTTTATTTTTTTGTTGAAAATTATTTTTTTTGCAAAATTTTTTGAATAATCCTTTTTAATTTTCAGATAAAAAGTCTAAAAATGATGCCAACAACAACAAAAAAATTAATTTAATTAAAATAAATAAAAAATGTTCAACAACAACAACAACAAATCAACACCTCTAAAACGCAAAAAGAATTAATTTTGAAGCCGAATGAATTAAAAGAGATGATGAAGAATTTTTGTCTCCATTGAAGAGGAGAGCTAAAATGGTTTGTTTTTTTTATTGTTGATTTTTTGGGTAGATTTTGATGGATTTTTAAAGACTCTGTCCGCAGGTTCTGTCCAGAAAAGCTTGAGGTTTTTAGGTTACATTGAGGGGTTAATCTAAAGGCATGACCATAATTTAGTAGAAATTAACTGAGTATTCCATCTACATATTGTTTTTTAATGTGGACTTTTACTGGGAATAAAGTTTTGGGCTAAATTTATGGAGTAACCCCCTTTCTCCTCTACCAAATTTTTCCAAATAAAAAATTTTATTTTTAAATTTTTGTAGAAAACGATTCTGAAAACGATGAAGAAGAAGAATTTGATGAAGACGGGAGAAAAATGAAGAAGAAATTAGAGATGATGAGGAAGATGAAGAAGAAAAATTGACGGAAGAAGAAAACAACCACCAACAACAAAATGAAGGTAACTTTGAAAGTTTTTTGAATTAAAAGGGAAATGAAGAAGAGTTCGAAGCAACAGTGCTCGAGACTTCGAACTGGGTTTAAGCAAGACGGTCAACTGTCCCCTTCACCTTTACTCCTTTTAACACCTTTAGGCCAACTGTCCCTTACACCTTTAAGGTCAACTGTCCCCTCCACATTAAAGAAGTGGAAAAGTTACGCTAACCGTCCATCTTCTCTTATTTTTCCATTATCCCTCTTTAATTATTGATTTTCTTCTCTGACCATTGCTTAGACAAGCAAAATCATGAAGTGGTTAGAGAAGTCAGATTTTGTTTTTTCTTCACTTCACCGTTGGTAAAAATAAATTTGACTTCTCTGACCAGTACACGATTTTGTTGTCTAATTAATGGTCAGAGAAGAAAATCAATAATTGAAGAGGGATAATGCAACAACATGAGAGACGTTCGATTTCTTTTTTGTTTTGAATAGGCGAAAGGGTTATTGATTTGTTCACTTTTCTTGTTCATTCAATAACCTTTTTTGTTTACACATTTTTGAAAAACATTTTTGTGGACTGAGTCCAAAGATGAGTAATTAATTTATTATTTTTTTTAGTCCACTAGCAATTCAAAAATTGATGAAGAATTATTTCATCAAAGTATTTCAACAACAACAACAAGTTCATCTTCAACAAACAACTTTTTATTTCAACGCCCTCCAATTGATGAATCATTCATTTCTCCATCAAAACAACAATGGAAAGGATTCTGGTCTTCACCTGCTTCAAATGTCAACAAAAATTGCTTAAAAACACCTTCACCAGCCCGAATGATGAAGTAAGCCTTGGAAATTTGTTGCTGATGACTTCAGGTTTGGTTTTTTTGATTATCTTTGTCGTCCTTTCTGGGGATCTTATTGTAAGCTTTTAAAAGAGCTTATTCTCTGTCAAGCGTCGGTCCTTAGTTTCGGTCCTGGGACCTGACACATTTGTTATGCACCTGATCATCTGTCGATGGTGCATCGAGGTTATACAAGTCCATGTTCCCTCATTCTGTCCACCGATTTTTTTCTTTTGCTGACACAACAGACAATTGCGGAGTCAAGTTTATCAGTGAGCGGCTGTTCTAGGAGCCATCTTTTCCCATCTGTTTAAAAATGGGAAACTTACTAGGAATAAAGTTGTGGCTAAAGTTATGGGGTAACCCCTATCTCCTCTAACTTGTTTTTCCAATCAAAATAAATTTTATTTTTAAGATTGTAAAGAAAGATTCTGAGGAGTAAGAAGAAGAAGAATTTGATGAAGACAAGATGCCTTCAGATGTCAACAGAAATTGTTTCAAAACACCTTCACCTGCTTGAATGATGAAACAATCTGTAAAAATATTGGGAATTTGTTGCTGACGACTTCAGGTTTTGTTTTTTTTTTTTGTTAATCTTTGTGGTCCTTTCTGGGGATCGGGAGGGGACTTTTTAGCTTGTGAAAGAGCTTATCTTCTGTCAGGCATAGATCCCTTGTCTCGATCCTGTCTGTTGATGGGGTATCAGGTTGTGGTACTTATAGGGTTTGTATCCGCTGGAAAAAATTAATTTATTTTTTGTAAAAATGGTCAGTGAAAAAGTTTAACATATTTGCTTGTAGTCACATTTATTCACTCACTCTTCCTTCAATTCTGGCAATTTTCATTTGTAACCATCTTTAATTATAAGAAATAAACATCGATTTATTCATCCATTTACAAATAACAAGGGCAAGATGTGTGAGACAGGCAATCGAAAACAAAAAATTGCCAGAATTGAAGGAAGAGTGAGTGAATGAATGTGACTGCAGGCAAATATGTTAAACTTTTTCACTGACCATTTTTACAAAAAATAAATTAATTTTTTCCAGCGGATACAAACCCTATAAGTACCCAGGTTGTTAAGAATCAATGTCCCTTCTGTCCTCCGATCTTTTCCATTTGCTGACACAACAAATGAGTTGTCAGGCTTAAAAGTGAACGGGGTGTTCTAGGAGCGTTTTTATGCCAATAAAAAATTTTTTTTTAAATGAATTTTTTCCTTTTATAGAAACTGCGCACAAAGGACATCAAGAAGGAAACTAAGCAAAGGCCGGACAACATTATGTAGCACTCCTGCAACAACTCCACACCTGCAAGAGAAAAAGAAAAGGGTTTAATCCTTAAATGGGGGGGGGGGTATTTGCGGACAAAACTTGTGTTCATCCACTAAAACAATATAATGTTTTTATTTACTTCAGCAATTCTTGCTCTTCATGGTGGTTGGCCTTTCTCTTCCTGCTGGTGGCAATGCTCTTCATATGTGGCCCCCATTGGTGAATGACTTGGTGGACCCCCTTGGTGATTGACTTGGTGGACCCCCTTGGTGATTGACTTGTGGCCCTCGTGGTCTCATTGTTGATTGACTGTGGTCCCCATTGTTGATTGACTGTGGTCCCCATTGGTGTTTGACTGTGGGTCACATTGGGTTGGCCTTTCTCTTCCTGCTGGTGGCAATGCTCTTCATATGTGGCCCCCATTGGTGAATGACTTGGTGGACCCCCTTGGTGATTGACTTGTGGCCCTCGTGGTCCCATTGTTGATTGACTGTGGTCCCCATTGTTGATTGACTGTGGTCCCCATTGGTGTTTGACTGTGGGTCACATTGGGTTGGCCTTTCTCTTCCTGCTGGTGGCAATGCTCTTCATATGTGGCCCCCATTGGTGAATGACTTGGTGTACCCCCTTGGTGATTGACTTGGTGGACCCCCTTGGTGATTGACTTGTGGCCCTCGTGGTCCCATTGTTGATTGACTGTGGTCCCCATTGTTGATTGACTGTGGTCCCCATTGGTGTTTGACTGTGGGTCACATTGGGTTGGCCTTTCTCTTCCTGCTGGTGGCAATGCTCTTCATATGTGGCCCCCATTGGTGAATGACTTGGTGTACCCCCTTGGTGATTGACTTGGTGGACCCCCTTGGTGATTGACTTGTGGCCCTCGTGGTCCCATTGTTGATTGACTGTGGTCCCCATTGTTGATTGACTGTGGTCCCCATTGGTGTTTGACTGTGGGTCACATTGGGTTGGCCTTTCTCTTCCTGCTGGTGGCAATGCTCTTCATATGTGGCCCCCATTGGTGAATGACTTGGTGTACCCCCTTGGTGATTGACTTGGTGGACCCCCTTGGTGATTGACTTGTGGCCCTCGTGGTCCCATTGTTGATTGACTGTGGTCCCCATTGTTGATTGACTGTGGTCCCCATTGGTGTTTGACTGTGGGTCACATTGGGTTGGCCTTTCTCTTCCTGCTGGTGGCAATGCTCTTCATATGTGGCCCCCATTGGTGAATGACTTGGTGTACCCCCTTGGTGATTGACTTGGTGGACCCCCTTGGTGATTGACTTGTGGCCCTCGTGGTCCCATTGTTGATTGACTGTGGTCCCCATTGTTGATTGACTGTGGTCCCCATTGGTGTTTGACTGTGGGTCACATTGGGTTGGCCTATCTCTTCCTGCTGGTGGCAATGCTCTTCATGGTGGTGCCCGTTCTCATCATGATGCAAGTGGACGTCGTGGCAATAAGTAATGTTTGTTTTTTAATTTTTTAAACATCCGCAAGTTTTGTCCGCAAATAAGTCCACTTAAATCCCTGGCTTTTATCTGGAGGAGGGAAGGGTTTTTTAAACATTTTTAGGACTTGGCATTAACTCAAAATGCAGTTTTGTGTATGATGTACTTGCTTGGCTTCCATCTTGAATGTCTTTGGTTTCGATTACAGATTAGAAATTGCAGTTTAGTCAGGTTTTGTTTGGTTTATTCTGTTGAAATAAAATTCCATTTTTTAGGAAACCTTTGGACGGTTTGCTGTGGCTTTGTGCCCTTCAAGGCCTGTTTTGCTTGTCAAATGAAGATGTACAAATTACTTTGTTAATTTGCCCGGTGATGGAGGTTTTTTAAATTACTGTTTGTCCTAACTCGCGGAGTGTCCAAGAACATATCAACCTTCCACTAGCCCCATTACCTATTAAAGACTAAAATAATTTCCGGAAAATACATTTTATTATATTCTTCCGGAAATTACATTGTCTGAAATTATCACATTTTCTGGAAATAATGAAGTATCCGGAAAAACTCTAATATTTTCTGGGAAACTTTTTACCAGAAAATACATTCCCTTTTATTAAACTCCAATTTTTTTGAGATAAGTTCCCCACTCTTTTCGTGTCTTTTTTCTGAATTAAAATGAAATAATCTTCTTTTATTTTTTTAGTTTTTTCAAAAAATATTTTACTAAAAAATGTTCAACAACAACAATAAATCAACACCTCTAAAACGCAAAAAATTAATCTTGAAGCCGAATGAATTAAAAGATGAAGAATTTATGTCTCCAGTGAAGAGAAGAGCTAAAATGGTTAATCTTTTTTATTCATTTTTGGGTAACTTTTGGGGTTTTTGGACTGTCTTCTCGAAATTTTATTGAAAGGATTTGAAGGCCAGTCCATAATTAGAAGGGTTCTATTAAAATGATGTGGTTTCTCCCTTTTTTTGGGACGATCCGAAGGGTCGGAGTGTCGAAAATCCATCCTTTAAAAGCTGTCGGTATGCTAGATAAACTAAATGTTTGTTCAAAAACATTTCCTAGGTTAAACTTGGGATTCATTTCTCCAACAAAAATTTAGACTTGGGGTCAGAGTTAAAAATAGATCTCAATTAATTCTAAAAAAATTTTTAGTCAACAAACACTTGTGAGGACTTCTTCCGTCAACAATCTGGACCAGCAACTACAAACTTGTCTTCAACAAACAAATATTTATTTCAACGCCCTCCAATTGACGAATCCTTCATTTCTCCATTAAAACAACAATGGAAAGGCTTCCTGTCTTCTCCTTCTTCAAATGTCAACAAAAATTGCTTAAAAACACCTTCACCAGCTCGGATGCTAAAACAATCTGTTATCTGCAAAAATATTGGAAATTTATTGCTGATGACTCCAGGTTTTGTTTTTATTCTTAAGATCTTTTTGATGGGGTTATTGTGGGTCTCTATTTACTTCTAATATTCACAAGGACCCAGCCCAGGCAGGCATCGGTCCAGCTTTTTCCTGGGGCAGTTATTGCTAGCGCCTTCACCTATCACGTACAGCCCTTCGTCTAGTAAGTTAAACGCTTTGAATAATTAACCTATTTTTGGCTTTAGCCTTCCATTTCAGGAATGTATAGGAGGGTTACTCAAAACTCGACCTAACTTTTTTCTCAACTCAGTTATTTCCATGTTCCGACGACTTTTTAAAATGTAGGAGGGGGTTGGGGAGTGGATGCAATTCCACTAATTCCTAGGTTAGTTCACTGTCATATTTTCCAAACAAAAATTTTTATTTTTAAAAATTTTTAGAAAAAGATTCTGATGAGGAAGAAGATAAAGAAGAATTTGATGGAGAGAACAAAAATGAAGAAGAGATTGAAGACGATGATGATGAGGAAGAAAAATTGAAAGAAGAAGAGCAAACAACTTCAAATAAAATCAAAAAATATCCAACAAAAAAGAGAACAACAACAACCAAAAAACAAAATGGAGGTAATTTTGTCAAATTAAATATGCGTCATCGTAGATTTACTCCAAGCAGTAAGTTTAGAATTAAAAAGAAATGGAAAAGGAAATTTAAAAATTAATTCAATTTTGTGTCATGTGCAAGTCTGCACGGTTGTGTTTGTTTTTATGTCTTAACTTTTTTGAATTTTTTTCGAACTCTCATGATTTATATATCAATCGAAAGCCCAGAGTTTACTGATTATTTTTCCTTCTGGCATTGATAAGATCTGATCAGTCCTTAAAAAGATATGGGTTGATAAGTCCGAAAGATAGTGACTTTCGATTATTTTTTGGGCCATAACTTCTTTAAAATTTAATCCTTTCTCGTGATTTATATATCAATCGAAAGCCCTGAGATTGCTGAGCATTATTTCCAAGGGAACTGATAAGATCCTTTCAGTCCTTAAAGAGTTATGGACTGATAATAAATTGTGATCCAAAAAGGACTTCAACTGTGCAGACTTGTGTTCTTTTTTTCAAATATTCTTTATTTAAATATTGATTATATTAATCTTCTTTTATTCTTCTCAAACAAATCTCTCTAAACTTGTATTTCTCTTCTATTTATTTTTAAATCTGGGTCAATCATCAATACTTTAATCGCGCACATATTAAAATGTGCACACAAAACTCATCCATATATTAATGTATTAAATTGTGTATTTTCCGGAACAGTATTTCATAGTTATACATTTTCCGGAAAGATTTTTATTTTAGAGTTATACATTTTCCGGAAAGATACTTTTTTAGTCGTACTCTTCCGGAAAGATATATACTAATATACATTTTCCGGAACATATTTTATAGTTATACTTTTTCCGGGACATATTTCAGAGTTATACTTTTCCGGAAAATACACAACTTTGTTTATTCTTTTTCTGAACAATTTATTATATATTTTCCGGAAACATTTTATTAATATTTTGTATTTTACAGCAAATATATTTAAAGTTCCATATTTTCCGGAAAATATTAATTAATTAAACACTTGTCTAAATTAAAATGCAAAAATCTTCCTCGGAAGAAGTAGCCATTTCCTTGTCATTTTTATTTGCTGAATATATGCAATTGGTAAATTTAAAAATTTCATTTCATTTTTCAATTATAAATAGCTTGTTGTTGCTTTATTTGCATTACTGGCTTTTCTTGGGATTAAAGAACGTTTATTTAATATTGAAACTCATTGAATTAAATATACATGTATTTTCATTGATTGTGGATAAAATTATATCTGTTTTGAATTTTAAAAATTTTAAAAAAATCGATATATCGATTAGTATTGATTTTATCGATTAGTATCGATTTTTTAATTTAAAAAATTTTTAAAAAATAAATTATCGATTAGTATTGATTAGTATTGATTTTATCGATTAGTATCGATTTTTTGAATTTTAAAAATTTTTACAATTTAAAAAAAAATCGATATATCGATTAGTATTGATTTTATCGATTAGTATCGATTTTTTGAATTTTAAAAATATTTACAATTTAAAAAAAATCGATATATTGATTAGTATTGATTTTATCGATTAGTATCGATTTTTTGAATTTTAAAAATTTTTACAATTTTAAAAAAATCGATATATTGATTAGTATTGATTTTATCGATTGATATTGATTTTTTGAATTTTAAAAATTTTTACAATTTTAAAAAAATCGATATATCGATTAGTATTGATTTTATCGATTGATATTGATTTTTTGAAATTTAAAAATTTTTACAATTTTAAAAAATCGATATATTGATTAGTATTGATTTTATCGATTGATATTGATTTTTTGAATTTTAAAAATTTTTAAAAAATAAATTATTGATTAGTATTGATTTTATCGATTTTTTGAATTTAAAAAATTTATGTTGTGAATACGACAAAATGTCCCTTAGTTAGTAACGCGACAAAATGTCTCCTTATTATGAATGCGACAAAATGCCCATAACCGTATTTTCAAGATGAAGTTCATTTATTCAATTTCAGAGAATTTATTTACATCTTTTTCATAATTTTAAATATTCATTTATTTATTTCAATTAAATTTGGATTTTCTTCCTTCCAGCTTTCAATATTTCCATCAGCTATGGCCACAGGCAAACATCTACCACAAGTTTTCGAACAAAGCAGCCAAATTGCTCCATGAGGGTACGGGAGTAGTTGAGCGCGGAAATGCCAAAGGAGAAGTTCTTAAAAAGGAATTTATAGAAAATATAGATGTACCTCTATATAGGGTACACCCAATAGAGGAGACCCTGAGCTTAAGATACTTTTACCTTCAGGGAATTTATAAAGCGTCCCTGTAGCAGGGGTGTGCTGAAACGGATTTTAAAAAGCGAAACTCGAAAGGCGAAATTAAATTTAAAACCGTTACACGATGAGTCACCGTTACACGATGAGTCACCGTTACACGATGAATCACCGTTACACGATGAATCACCGTTACACGATGAGTCACCGTTACACGATGAATCACCGTTACACGATGAATCACCGTTACACGATGAGTCACCGTTACACGATGAATCACCGTTACACGATGAGTCACCGTTACACGATGAATCACCGTTACACGATGAATCACCGTTACACGATGAGTCACCGTTACACGATGAGTCACATTTTACACGATGAATCACCGTTACACGATGAGTCACCGTTACACGATGAGTCACATTTTACACGATGAGTCACCGTTACACGATGAATCACCGTTACACGATGAGTCACCGTTACACGATGAGTCACATTTTACACGATGAGTCACCGTTACACGATGAATCACCGTTACACGATGAGTCACCGTTACACGATGAGTCACCGTTACACGATGAGTCACCGTTACACGATGAGTCACCGTTACACGATGAATCACCGTTACACGATGAGTCACCGTTACACGATGAGTCACCGTTACACGATGAATCACCGTTACACGATGAGTCACCGTTACACGATGAGTCACCGTTACACGATGAGTCACCGTTACACGATGAGTCACCGTTACACGATGAGTCACCGTTACACGATGAATCACCGTTACACGATGAATCACCGTTACACGATGAGTCACCGTTACACGATGAGTCACCGTTACACGATGAGTCACCGTTACACGATGAGTCACCGTTACACGATGAATCACCGTTACACGATGAATCACCGTTACACGATGAGTCACCGTTACACGATGAGTCACCGTTACACGATGAGTCACCGTTACACGATGAATCACCGTTACACGATGAATCACCGTTACACGATGAGTCACCGTTACACGATGAGTCACCGTTACACGATGAGTCACCGTTACACGATGAGTCACCGTTACACGATGAATCACCGTTACACGATGAGTCACCGTTACACGATGAGTCACCGTTACACGATGAGTCACCGTTACACGATGAATCACCGTTACACGATGAATCACCGTTACACGATGAGTCACCGTTACACGATGAGTCACCGTTACACGATGAGTCACCGTTACACGATGAGTCACCGTTACACGATGAGTCACCGTTACACGATGAATCACCGTTACACGATGAATCACCGTTACACGATGAGTCACCGTTACACGATGAGTCACCGTTACACGATGAGTCACCGTTACACGATGAATCACCGTTACACGATGAGTCACCGTTACACGATGAGTCACCGTTACACGATGAATCACCGTTACACGATGAGTCACCGTTACACGATGAATCACCGTTACACGATGAGTCACCGTTACACGATGAATCACCGTTACACGATGAATCACCGTTACACGATGAATCACCGTTACACGATGAGTCACCGTTACACGATGAGTCACCGTTACACGATGAGTCACCGTTACACGATGAGTCACCGTTACACGATGAGTCACCGTTACACGATGAATCACCGTTACACGATGAATCACCGTTACACGATGAGTCACCGTTACACGATGAGTCACCGTTACACGATGAGTCACCGTTACACGATGAATCACCGTTACACGATGAATCACCGTTACACGATGAGTCACCGTTACACGATGAGTCACCGTTACACGATGAGTCACCGTTACACGATGAGTCACCGTTACACGATGAATCACCGTTACACGATGAGTCACCGTTACACGATGAGTCACCGTTACACGATGAGTCACCGTTACACGATGAGTCACCGTTACACGATGAATCACCGTTACACGATGAGTCACCGTTACACGATGAGTCACCGTTACACGATGAGTCACCGTTACACGATGAGTCACCGTTACACGATGAGTCACCGTTACACGATGAGTCACCGTTACACGATGAATCACCGTTACACGATGAGTCACCGTTACACGATGAATCACCGTTACACGATGAATCACCGTTACACGATGAGTCACCGTTACACGATGAGTCACCGTTACACGATGAATCACCGTTACACGATGAGTCACCGTTACACGATGAGTCACCGTTACACGATGAGTCACCGTTACACGATGAGTCACCGTTACACGATGAGTCACCGTTACACGATGAGTCACCGTTACACGATGAATCACCGTTACACGATGAGTCACCGTTACACGATGAGTCACCGTTACACGATGAATCACCGTTACACGATGAGTCACCGTTACACGATGAGTCACCGTTACACGATGAATCACCGTTACACGATGAATCACCGTTACACGATGAATCACCGTTACACGATGAGTCACCGTTACACGATGAGTCACCGTTACACGATGAATCACCGTTACACGATGAATCACCGTTACACGATGAATCACCGTTACACGATGAGTCACCGTTACACGATGAGTCACCGTTACACGATGAATCACCGTTACACGATGAGTCACCGTTACACGATGAGTCACCGTTACACGATGAATCACCGTTACACGATGAATCACCGTTACACGATGAATCACCGTTACACGATGAATCACCGTTACACGATGAATCACCGTTACACGATGAATCACCGTTACACGATGAGTCACCGTTACACGATGAGTCACCGTTACACGATGAATCACCGTTACACGATGAATCACCGTTACACGATGAGTCACCGTTACACGATGAGTCACCGTTACACGATGAATCACCGTTACACGATGAGTCACCGTTACACGATGAGTCACCGTTACACGATGAGTCACCGTTACACGATTAAAGGTAGCTCCTACTGGGCAAGTAGTTAGTAGGTGAGATATTAATGGATGTAGAGGAAGAGACTTCTAAATGATACCCACCCTCTATTTAAAAGACACTTCATTATAAAAAACATTTTCTGTTAGGAGCTCATACAAGGTAATTGAACTAGGTTCAGTTCACTATCAATCGGTTCAGCCTTGGAAATAACTATAGTTCAGTTCAGAAAACAAATATTTATTCAGAGCGTTAAAAGTTTATAATTATTTTATATTGAATTCAAAATAAGTTAAAGAGTTAAATTGCGGGGGAGTATTTATAGGGATTCTTACACAAACATAAATTGTTATTGAGAATAGCTAGGTCAAAAATTAATTATATAAAAGTGAATAACAAAATATATGATAAGGGGTTTTGGGTAAATATTTAGTCGGGAAAACTCAGTAAACCTTTTATAAAATTGGAAGGTCAAGAGTTTATCATTTATTTATTTATTTTTATATTTTGGGAAAAAGATATTTTTTTTTAATTTATTTATTTGCTTATGCGAATGCAGCATTAAATGAACTGTTTGTAAGTTCACTATAAACCCTCGGTTCTAAGCCTTGGTCAAATTAGATTTTAAATATGAATTTATTCAAAGGGTTAAAATATTATAAGTTGAAGAGTTAAAAAGTAAAGTTCAATATAAGACAAAATAGATGAGAATGTGGCGGATATATATAGTGGAAATTTTGGTAAACAAATATTGTTATTGAGATGGGCAGAGTCGAGAAATGGGTAAATATTAATACAGAATGTGAATAATAAGAGATAAGGTTTAGCCAGTAATAAATATTAAATTGGGAAAGTCGGGAATCTCTTTAATTGAGATGAAGGTCAACTCTTATCATTTATTTATATTTTTGGGAAAAGTTATTTTTTAATTTGTTTATTTGTTTTACGAATGCAGCATTCCTTCCCCCTTAATTAAGATGACGTCCACGTCATGATTAAAATAAACGGAGGAGATTATAATTATTTTTTAATTTGTTTATTTGCTACAAATCGCATTCTGTAAAAACAAAAATTTTATTCTAGAAGCCATTTAAGGTTCCATTTTAGCTTTGAAATTTTATCGAGGGATTTTTTTAAATTTATTATTTTTAAATTCTCCTCTTATTTTATCTTTTTTTTTTAAATTTATTTAATTTTATAGTATTTCTCCCATTATGGGATTAATTTTTTTTTCTCCGACATTAGGTTAAAGGGGTATAGAAAAATATTTAAATTGGATTACAAACTAAAAAATTAAACTATTAAAAGTAAAAAAAAATTTTAGGGAATTTGATTAATTATTTAAAAGGAAATGGGGTAAGGAAATTGGTGTTTTTTTGTACAAGTAACACTTTTTATATTACGGATAAGCAGCTATTCTTATCTTTTTGCATTTCGGCATTTGTCCATTCATTTGCCGATTCCATTCCTCTACCTTTGTGTGTCCTGTCTGTTGTTTTGACGTTGGCAGTCTTATCTTTTGATGCTGGATGTGGTCTATCTCTGATGGTCCTGCTTTCTTTGCCGATTCTCCCATTTTAAAGTTAGGGGGCCTTATCATGAATTTGTCCTCAACCCACTTTTTTCTTACTTTTTTATTTGTGGGACTATTTTTCTGATAATTATGTTTTTGGCTTGGGCTTGTTAGGTTTGTGTCTATTCTCAAGCCACAATTCTTTAGTGAATTATTATTTTTATTTATTTCGTGATTGTTTTTAAATTCAATATTTTCCATTAATTTTATTTTCGCCTTTTCACTATTATGATTATTTCTAATTAGCGATTTTGCGGTTAATTTCAATGCACTTTGCTTTAAAATAAACATCAGTAAACATATTATTGTGCTAGCAAAGAAAAAGGCGAGAAATATCCAAATTTGATTTACTATAAGCAAACTCGCATAATTTGAAGATAATTTGCTCTCATTATTTAATTTTGTTATTTTCCAATTGTCCAGTATTGTTTTCTCTTTAAAGGTAAAGGGTGAGTAAGCGGGACAATTCATTTCAATTTGTGGTGCAGAGCTAGCCAAAGTGGGACTTATAATAGCAATAAGTGCAAATATAGTTAGCAAGTATGGGCTAGATATCCTTAGTGGACTTGCAACTCGGCTTTCACTATATCTCACATTTCTAGTGGGTGACTGGCTGTAATTATTTGGCGAATTTTCTCTATAATTTTCGCGATTTCTATCATTATATCTGCGGCTATCACTATTATATTCATTTCTGTAATTATTTCTGTTTTCCCAATAATTATTTTGATAATTTCTTCGCTCATAATTATTATATTGGCGAGCTTTATAATTTTTTCTTGCTCTATTTCGGCAATCCGCTATGACATGTCCAGGTTTATGACAGTAATAGCATAAGCGTCTTGTTTCTCTAGACCGATTAATTGCTAGGGCTTCCATTTTTTCTGCCAAATCCACATAATGATTATTTTGATATTTTTGGCGTTTTTCTCCTAATAATAGTTCAAAATGTTCGGCAACTTCAAATGCCTTAGTATATTCTTCAGGTCTAGCAGCTTTTACTTCGAATTGGAGATCTGGCAAAAGCCTATCCAAAAATTCATCTAGCAATCGCTGTTGTATTGTATTTTCTTCATATCCAATCATTACAGCACGTACTGCGTCGTTTAATCGCTGCGCAAATTCAAAAACTCTTTCTCCAGGTGCTTGTTTAATTATAGATAGGGCTTGCCTAGCTACCGTACGAGAATGACCATTTACAAATTTTTCTTGCAAAAAATCTATAGCTTCTTGCAGAGTAGCTGGTTGCGGGACTTTAGCATCAAGTTCAGCACGAGCACGACCTCCCAGGCATACTTTTAGACGACTAAGCTTTTGTGCTTCATTTAGGGGAGTAATTATTAAATTTAGAGCATCCATGAATCGCTGGAAAAATTTCGAGAATGAGCTAGTCGGGTTTCCGTCATAGACTCCGACAGGGGTCATTAGACCATTTAAGAATGGGTCTCCGATCATAATCTCAACATTTTCTCCAGTAATGGGTTTCTTAACATCTTCAGGCTCTTTTTCCGGAGGTTTGGTCTTGAGATTTAGGTCAACAGATTCATTACTTCCGTGACCATTCCAGGAAAATCCGGATCCTCTCGATCCATTTTCTAAAACCTCTACTTTTGCTTCAAGACTTTCGATTTTATCAATTAATTTACGCGCATTTTTAGCAATAATTTCTGCTATCTTTTGCTCACTTTTAGTTAAATTTTTCTCAACATTTTCCATCCCTTCCTCTAGGATGTTTAGGCGTTGGATTTGCAGAATCTGTTCTTTTTCTAATTCCATATTCTTAGAGCGCAAAAAGACTAATTCATCTTTTAATTCTTTATCTTCAATTTTATTTTCAATTTCTTGAATTTTAGTTCTATTTACATCATTATCAACTCCTAAATTTGATATTTCCTCTTTGACAATCTGTTTTAAATTTTTAAATTGATTTTCTAATTTTTCAAATTTTCCATCTATTAAAGCATTTATTTTGTCAATTTCAGATGAGGACGAATTTAGTGTCAAATTTTGTCCTTCAGTAATTTTCGACTCGATTTTACGGAAATTTTTACAAACAGCCTCTTCAAAGCTGCGTAATCGGAATAACAAATTATTCCAATGACGACCTTCTTCAGGCGTAAAAAATTTATTCGCAAAATCTGATCCTGTTGTCTGTGTCTGATTTTTATCCATTTCTAAGATACTCCAGAAAATGTTTTCAGGGGCAGGAAATCCTTTATAGAGCTTTTCTGAGAGTGGAAAATCCAGTTCCTCTCTTTTTTAAACTGAGGATTGCACCCAGCAATTTCCTCTACTTTAACCGTTGCACCTAGCAGGAGGATAGAGCACCAAGCAGTCTACCTCGTTTTTTTTTTAAATTAATTAATTACGTGGGGTATTTTCCTCCCACAATTTCTCTCAACACTCTTTAGAACAAGCTCTCTTCAGGATCAAAATATCCTTCAAACAAATTCTTTTTCTCTCAATGCTTTTCACCCGGATTAAGTGGCACCAAAATGAACTGTTTGTAAGTTCACTATAAACCCTCGGTTCTAAGCCTTGGTCAAATTAGATTTTAAATATGAATTTATTCAAAGGGTTAAAATATTATAAGTTGAAGAGTTAAAAAGTAAAGTTCAATATAAGACAAAATAGATGAGAATGTGGCGGATATATATAGTGGAAATTTTGGTAAACAAATATTGTTATTGAGATGGGCAGAGTCGAGAAATGGGTAAATATTAATACAGAATGTGAATAATAAGAGATAAGGTTTAGCCAGTAATAAATATTAAATTGGGAAAGTCGGGAATCTCTTTAATTGAGATGAAGGTCAACTCTTATCATTTATTTATATTTTTGGGAAAAGTTATTTTTTAATTTGTTTATTTGTTTTACGAATGCAGCAGTAATGAACTGATTAAAGAGCTTATAGGAGAGGTAGAGGAGTCTTCTAAAAGATACCCCCTATTTAAAAGACCCTTCATTATAAGAGACACTTATTCAGTCCAAAAAGTGTACCTTACACCCTGAGGTTCGAAATACAAGTCTAAAAACCCCTTTAAAAAAATTCCTCTACCAAATTCCTTGGCCAATTTTGCATTAGCCACCCTTAAACAGCTTTGCCACTTTCTTTTGCAATTCAAAACTTTTGACAAATTAATTGTTAATGAAGGAAGATCATTTGTAGTAGGAGAATTACAACTGCGAAAAGAATTAATTTTTGATTTAAATTTAAAAGAAATTCTCAACTTTATTCGAGATATTCCACATTGATAAACACTTTCTTTTTTGAGTTGAAGCATTCTTTCAATTATGGGACCTCCTTCAGCAGAAAGTAACAATTCAGCCAAATCATCTTCAGAAGGGAAAAGGTTTAGTAGGTCTCCAATTTTCTAAAATTTTGAGAATTTTTTTCAAGCAATTAATGGCCATATTTTGGGCCATAACTTTTTAATTCTTAACTGATTTTAACTGGTTATTATATTAATCGAAAGCTCTGAATGTGAGGATTATTTTAGCTTAAAGGATTAATCTAAGCAGACCATCATACAAAACAGTAAATGACTCAATAAGACGAGAGACACGATACTCTGGACTTATTAACTGATAACTCTTTGAGCATTGATCCGACTAATCAGTTCTGTTGGGAAAAATATTAGAGACATTAAGAGCTATCGATTGATATATAAAACATAAGAAATGATTGAAGTTCGGAGAAGTCATTATCTTCTGAAACTATCACCTGATAACTCTTTAAGGACTGATTCGATTTTATTAGTCCTATTGGGAAAAATACTCAGGACACCCAGGGCTTTCGATTGATATATACGAATCATAAGAAAAGATTAAGTTTCAAAAGAGTTTGACCCAACGATCTTCCACACTTAACAATCGCTTAAGGACTAACTAATCAAATCTTATCAGTCCTATTTAATTTAATTTTACAATTATATATCTCTTAAAATATTTAAACTCACAATAATCATTCTATTAATTTCTTGTCGATCAACAAGTGTTTGTGCAAGTCCAGTTTCCAAAAAATTTGCAGCGAAACGTAAATTTGCCTAAATTTAGAAGGAAATAGTTTATAAAATTTTTAAAATTTAAATTATTTACCCTCATATTTCCTCCACCAATAAAATGACGTAAATAATGAAGAGTATGGATTAAAGCAACTGAGTGAATAGCAGAATCGCCAGTTGGGAAAAGACACATGGACTTGAAAGCAGAACAGAAATGTTCGGAAAGTCTGTTTTTACACTCAAAAACTGAAAGAAAATTTCAAAAAAAATTTCTAAGTCATCCCCACCTTTATTATTTTCTTCATTATCTTCACATTCCTTCCTCTTCAACGTCTTTTCCAAATTAAATTCTACCAACACATCCAATTCTTTATTATAATCATAAGTAGGTGGAGGTGGAATAGGTTGAACTTCTGCAGGAATTATCTTCTCATCCACTGTATTAAAGAAAGTAGTAATTATTATTTTATCGTTCTTTGTGTTGTCGCCTATCTCTTCTTTGTTTTTAACAATTGAAACATTGCTGCTAGTTTCTGATTTATTTATTAATGTTTGTTGTTGTTCTGGTGTTGTTGGTAGCAAAAACAAAGGACGTTGTGTTGTTGTTTGTTGTTCTGAAATTATTTCCTCAACATAACCTTCTAGTAAAACATTTGTTGTAGTTGTTGTTTGGATAGGCTTCTGAAAATTGTAAAAACATTTAATGTTTTGTTTATTTAAACATACAACTTCTTCACGAACTTCATCAAGTTGAAATGTTTCTTCAAATTCTGATAAAATTGGAGGTAACTGTGTTGTTGTTTTGAAGCTGTTTGTTGTTTGTTCAAAATTCTGGTTTAAATTCTGTTTTGTTTTAATTATTATTCAAACATGTTTGAATAAAATTCTGATTTGTTTTATTATTAGTCTAAAGCATGTTCAAATAAAATTCTGATTTAAATTCTGGTTTGTTTTTAAAAAATTCTGATATGTTTTATTTATTATTCAAACATGTTCGAATTAAATTCTGATTTAAATATGTTTCAAACTAATTCTGATATGGTTTGTTTCAACAAATGTTTGTTTTAAAATTTATTTGCATGAACGCAACATAATTTTAAACAATATTAAAATAAAAAATAAAATAAAAATTGCAACTAAAAATATATAAAAATTAATTAAATTTGTCACCTTTTCTTCCTGCAAATTAGGTTTTATTGTAGACAATTCTTCTATTATTTCCTCTTCAAATTCTTCAAGTATTGTTTCATTAGACAAAACAAAAATGTTGTTTATGCTTGTTGTTGTTTTTGTTGGTTGTTGTTGTGTTGTTTGTTCTGATGTTGGTGAATTATAATGTTGTGATGTTTGTGTTGTTAAATTAATGTTTTCAAGTTTGTTTTGTTCTGTTGTTGTTTCAAGTTTGTTGTTGTTTTCCATGTTTATTTCCAACAAATATTCAAGTTTGTTTTGTTCGGTTGTTGCTTCCAAACTTTGTTTTGTTGTTGTTAATATTGTTTCTAATGTTGTTGTAGTCAAGTTTTCAAGTTTAATTTTATCCAACAACAATGTTTCTTCAAATGTTTTGCTTGTTTTATTTTCTTCTTCTTTGGGAGCTTCCAACAGTTCATTTTGTTGCTGCTCTTCTTCTTCTACAATTTCTTTTAATGTTGGATCTTTTATCCTAATCCCTCCAATTTCTTCTTCCAACATTAATTTATTTTGAATTTTGCTTTGTTTTTTAATTTCATTTTCTTTTTCTTCCTCTACTTCTTCAATTTCTTCTGCTGTTTTTAATTCTTCTTCCTCCTCTTCAGAATATTCCTCATCATCAATATATTCATCAATTTCTTCTTCTTCTGAAGCATTTTCTAATTCAACAGGTAAAGGTTTGGGTCTCCACTAGAAAAAAATCAGAATATTTAATTAGTTCAAGAAAAATCGAAATTTAACAAAATTTACAAATTCTGATTTTCTTTTTACAATTCCAACTTGAATTGTAAAAACTTAAAACTCAATTTAATTCAAGTTGGAATTGTAAAACAAGTTTAAACAAAAAATCAGAATTAATTCCGAACATGCATCAGAATTTTTAAAAACACAAACATTTATGTTTTTAAAAATCAGAATTAAATCCAAACATACACCAGAATTAATTCCCCCAACAACATCAGAATTTTTAAGAACAAAAAATCAGAATTAAATTACAACAAAACAAAACTTACATCAGAATAATTACATTCAAAACTTGTTTGTTTAAATTCCTCAATTTGTGTATTTATTATTTGTCCATTTAAATCTGTTGCTTTTATATTTTGACTTGGAGAGCAATATTCAAAAGAAGCATCCAAAAATATTGGTTTAAAATTTGAATCTTGTTCACATAATTTATATACACCTTTAGAAGCTTCATTTAAATTACAAGTAGAATTTAGATTATTTTCTTTCTCTTCTGTTGTTTTATTAAAAAAACAACTTCCACGAGGGACTTTAATTGTACCAAAAAGACAATCTAAAAAATAAAAAAATTAAAAAAAAATTTCTTTAAATATTTTTGGACATTACTTACATATCCTATTAATTAAAAAAAAACTTTTTTTATACTTGCCCGACCAAAAATAAAATTAGAAAAAAAAGTAACCACCACAAGAAATACCCAAAAAAATTTTTTGAAATATACCCGTAAAAATTAAAAAAAATTTTTGAGAAGAGATTTTCTTGCGGGCATAAATAAAAATCAAATAAAATTATTAGAAAATAAAACCAAATCCTATTAAAAAATTAGAAAAAAAACCTTACAAACATCCGAAAAAAATAAAAAAATTTTAATTTTGAAAAATTTACGAGTCAATTCCCACACTCCATGCAAATTAGACAAATCACTTTTTCGAGTACATACACGAATAGAATCAGAATCCTCATCCTTTGAACCAAATAAAAATTCTTCTCCAGTTTCTTCTTTTATACAATTTTTGACTTTAAAATAAATTTAAAAATTTTTAAAGATTATTTTTAAATAAAAACCTCCATTTGTAAAAGATATTCCAGTAGAATTAATTTGGCATTGAATTAAAATATTGTGATTTTTGGGTAAAGGTTCAATTTGTCCTTAAAAATTTAAAAAAATCAATTGAAAAACTTTAAGTGTGAAAATTAAAAAATAGCCAGGGAAAAACCTCAAAATTGGAAATTTCTCCTTGAAAATTTTACAGGTTACGAACACGCCAACCAGTAATGGAATGGATTGGAAAAAGTCGGATCAGTTTCGGATTGAGTTTTCAAAATTTTCTTCTGATCGGTTTTCGGGGAGAAAAAAGTTTGAGTTCAAGGTAATCCGTTCCCAATTTCTAATTCCAATCCAAAAAATAAAATGAGTTAGAATTGTAAAAAATTTAAATAAAAAAATTAAAACCAAACCTAAAGCCATTGTAATATTCAAAGATTCCAAATAACAGCCAATTTTAACCAGTTGTCCATTAGGTAAACATTCAAGTATATCTTGACTATTAACCATTTGCTCTCTTGGTAATAAATTTTTTGAACCAAATTTGCATCCAATAGGCTTTTCAATTTGTACTCCACTTGGTCTGCAAAATTCTGCTGTGAGCTAAAAAAATTTTTAACGGACATATATTTCCACTCTTACATTATTATATATTCCATATCCACCCAGTGGAATGATACTTCCATAATCATCAATACAATCTATAAAATTAAAAAAATTTTATGATTTTTTAAAGACAGATAGATCATAAAATCAGCGCAGGAAGCATTAGCTCCGAAGAGCCAATTCTATATAGAGCCAGGGAGTTAGGAAATTGAACTCTCCCTCCCCGGAGCTGAAATAAGAGTCGTTGGAAAGGTCGGAAAAAATTAAAAAGATTTTTCAAAAAAAGGTAAAAAAACAAGGTTGGAGAGCCCAGCACTTAACATAAAGATCAAATCAAGTTAAATTAGATTCAAAATAATTGGACATAAAAAATCAATTTTAGGTCTTCCCCACGTTTCAGAATTGTAAAATATTTGTCCCCCACCATAAAAGTTTTTCTAGTAAAAAATATTTTATAAAATTAACCTTTGTGAGTAAGAACATACCAAAAGGCTAAAAAATAACATTTAAATTTTTCCAAAAAATATTTAAAAAACCTTTATGATTTAAATTTTCAATCAATTCATTTCCCAAAAACAAGCGTTGTCTTTCACAAGCAATTCTCAATTTTAAATTGCTAGCCCCTTTAACTGACAAAACAAAATAATGTCCAGGCAAAATAATATTATCACCAAAAAGGCAATTAAATTCTTAAAAAGTAAAATTTTTTTTAATTTTTTTAAGGTAAAATTTCGTCGAGTATCTCTCCCATACTTCGATTTGGACAAACAATGACATTCAAAAGAGCCATTCCGAAAGAGACCACAACTTTGCTAATACATAATTGAGTCAAGAGCTTAATTTAGATGTCAATCGACTCAAGCTCGTCGAGCTCTTTCAAGTGAAAAAAAATTCACCAAAATCAGAGTATGGGAGATATTATGAATTCTTTTTTCAATTTTATTTAAATTAACTGTGATATTTAATTAATCCTTTGTCTGCTTCACATTTTTCAAATATTCCAATTCCACCACCAATTGGATTGCCTTCATTTTCACCAATTTTTAAGTATTTTCCTGTAGAGCTTTTGCAGCCTAATAAAAAAATTTGAATTAATTAATTTAGAAAACGTAAAAATATTAAGTTATGGAAGGAAGTAGGAAAAGATCCCAGCTGGCTAGGTAGACGGAGGTTTAGGATACATTAAAAAGGGAAGGTGAAAGCAGCGTCCCGTTATTTCACAACAGTCGGTAGAACACCCTTTACGTGGCTACTGACAACTGCCACAAGGTCCCCAGAGAAAATCATCAGGAGGTCTCACTGCCGGAAGGTCCAACTAAAAGGAAATAGGAGAATGTGGATGCAACCCTGGGGTGATATGCCTCCTCAACCTTTTCCCTCCCACTTAAGATTATTACCAAATCCTCATTAAAAAATCTCAAAACTAACCGACATAAACCAATCCTTCCTTTCTGCATTCCAAAACATCCCCATCAATATTTGTATAGTTGCTACCCAAAGGTATCCAATTCTGTAAATTCATTGGGTCAACACATCCAAGCAATTGAATTTGACTAAGTAAAGACCAACTATAAATCAATCCATGGCAAGAATAGAGGTTTAGACTTCCAAAAGGGTAAAGACATTCAACGCTGACTTGAGGGGCTTCAAAAATTTGTAGAAAAAAATTAAAAGAAATCCAAACCTAAAGGAACTACCAATTTCTTAGCCCAACCAGAATTGTTCAAACAATAAATAATTACATTTCCTTCAATAAATTCCAATTGATGGCCAATTTCAATTAAAGTTGGTATTGATGATGAATTAAAATGATGAATACATTCTGGAAAGATTAAGAAAATTCTAAGAAAATTAAAAATTTTTGAGAGCCTAGTTACATATTCTGCCAAAACACATTTCGCCAATAAGGCTAAAAACACACATTTTGCCAAAAAAAGTTGTGTTGACAAAATGAGGGGTTTTAGCCTTATTGGCAAAATGTGGAATTGGCGTAATATGGGGAAGACTTTCAAGAAAGGTAGAAAACTAGAGAAAAATAGAAAGCTTACTAATTGGTCCAAGATTAACAACATCGGGTATTCTCTTCTTCTTTTTATTTTTTGACCGCTTGGTTGTAAGTGCTGTTGTTATATTTGTTGTTGTTGTTGCAGTCTTGTTTATTTTACATTCATAAATATAATTAATTCCATCCGATTTTTGTTCCCCAAATTTTATTTGTATTTCAGAACCGTCCAAAGCATCTGCACCAACACAGTCTGAAAGAAAGAAATAAACTTGAGAAAAGTTTAAACTTGAAAACTTAAGTTTTTAAGTTTGTAAACTTAAGTTTTTCAAACCCAAGTTTTTAAACAAAAATAAACTTAAAAACTTAAGTTTTCAAGTTTGTTTAGTAAACAATTGTAAAAACACAAACAAACTTAAGTTTTGCAATTACAACCCTAAACTTATTAACAAACTTTAAATTACAATTCAAACTTTGTTTTTAAAAAAAAAGTTTCAAAACTAAGAGAGTACGCGTAAAAATGAGAAAAAGAGAGAAAAAAAGAAAATAGTTAACAAAATGACATTTTTATCCCTTTTCACCATTTTGAATTAAATTGAAAATTATTTTCAAAATACCTACTTTATAAATGGTAATAAGGGAAAATATTGTCATAAAGTCAACAGAATACTTTAATGTCCAAGTTCCCCATATTATGCCAAAACCACATTTTGCCAATAAGGGTAAAACTACACATTTTGTCAACACTACTCTATTGACAAAACGAGAGGTTTTAGCCTTATTGGCAAAATATGTGTTTGACATAATCGTGGCGCAAACTTTTTAAATTTAATTAAAAAACATTAAAACTAACAGTCAGGCCAGTAAGCATTGTTTTTACAAATATAATGAACATTTTCTTCCACTTTGGCATCCTTTTTGTGACGGCATACTCGACGAACTTTAAAATTAAAAAAATTTCAAAAATTAAATTTAATTTTACGTCGTTTCCGAACAACCACTTTACGAAGAGTTTGAATATTTCGGTCAAATAAACATTCAACACGGCGATTTGAAAATTCTAAATTTGTGTTTGGCTTCATAAATCTGGTCCCTTCAACACAATCTTTAAAAAATAAAAATTTTTTAAATATTTTTTGAAAAATACAAACGTGTTCGTAAAAATTGAACACTGTCCGGAGCATATTGAACACAAATAGAACGAAAATGTGGAGTTATTAAAGTTGAATTGATTGCTATTGCTAGTGAATGTGGTTCATTTAATGGAACGCAATCTGAAAAGAATAAACTTAAAGCAATTACAAATTGTAAAACTTGTTTTTACAAAATAAAAAATAAACTTGAAGTAATTACAATTTGTGAAAACAAACTTTTTTATAAAACTTTTTCTAAAACTTGTTTTGTAAAATCAAAAAATAAACTTGAAACAATTACAAATTGTAAAAATATAAACCTGTTTTACAAATTGTAAATACAAATAAATAGAAAAACTTGATAATTACAATTTGTAAATGTTTTATACAAACTTGTTTTGTAAGAACACAAAACATTTAATTACAAAACTTGAAACTCAAACTTTAACAAACTTGAAACAATTACAATTTGTAAAAACTTTAAAACCTACTTTGAAACATTTTATGCCCATCAACACATCTATACACTGCATAATGTTGGTAGTAGAACAACCCATCCTGGCACGGCTCTATAAAAATAATTTTTAAAAATAAATTTAAAATATAAGAAGCCTGGTATAATTAAAGGAGAACCAGCATTAATAAAAATAAAATTTAAAAAATTAATTAATAAAATAAAAATAAACCAAGCCATTTTTATGGCTTTTTACCTAAAAAATAAGGGGAAAATAAAAAAATAATTTGAAAAAAATTTTTTTGATATCCAGAAATTTTCTAAAAAACTAAAAATGAAAGATTACCCTTTTTTAATCACGAGAATTTTTTAAAAACTAAATTAAAAATTCAGCACTTGCCTTTTAAAATAATTTATGCAGTCCGTTTTTCGATCAACATCCCTTTTTTGATTCATCACATATTTTTGCTTCTTAAATTCAAAAAAATATTTTTAATAGAAGCATCTTCATGAATAAATTAAAATTCCAATTTTAATAAATATATTTTTATCTTTTTTTAAAGTTTTTTTGCTTCAGGTTTTTGCTTCAAATTTTTGCTTCAAGTTTTTGCTTCAAATTTTTGCTTCAAGTTTTTGCTTCAAATTTTTGCTTCAAGTTGTATTTTCGTTGTTATATCTTCAAGTTGTATTTTCAAGTTTATTTTCTTCTTGTTTTTCTTCTTTCAAGTTTTGCTTCAAGTTTTATTTTCCAAGTTGTATTTTTAAGTTTGTTTTCAAGTTGTATTTTCATGTTTATTGTTTGCATTTAATTTTGCTTCAAGTTTATTTAATTAAAGTTTAATTAGAACTTGCAACTTGATTTAATAATTGTAATTGTGTATGTAAAAAATAAATAAAAAATAAATAAATAATAATTAAATGTTTCTATTTTCAATTTAAATAAGAAAATTAAAAAATTTTTATTTTATTTTAATATCAAAAATATTAAAAAAAAATATTTTACAAAAAAGAAATTTAAAAATAAAATGGCGAGAGGGTGTACAATTTTAAAGCTCATAATTAATTTATTTTAAAATTAATTGCGTTGTCTTTGTGGTAAGTATTTTATAAAAAAAATAAATTTTTTTTGTGGTAAGTATTTAATTTTAAAAATGAGAGAATTTTTAAAAAATAAAAAAAGAGTATTGCCTAAAATTTAAAATTATTAAAAAAAAATTTTTTTATTTGCTAATTTTTTCCTTCTTCCTTAATTTCTTCTTGCTTCAACTCAATTTTGTGAGTGTCAATTTTTGCTTCAGTTTTTACCCCTTCTTCCCCACTATTAATATAATTTAAAGAATTTAAATATTGTTGAAATAAAGCTGATGTAGCATCATTTAAAGTAGAAGGGAGTTGTTGTTGTTCTGTTGAAGCAGATGAAGAAATATTTATTGTAGATGTTGTGGCAGCGTTGCTAGTGGAAGTAGTAGTAGATGTAGGGTAAAACAAGGGAGGAAGTGATTGAAAAGCTTCTAATAAAAACATGTTTAGATTCATGTTTATTTTAATGTTTGTTTAATATTCTGATTTGTGTTTGAATTTAATTCAGGCCGTGTTTTTATTTAATTCTGGTTCATGTTTGAATTTAATTCTGGTCGTGTTTTTATTAATGTTTTAATTAAATATTCTGATCTCCAAGTTTATTTTTTAATAATGTTTTGCTTCAAGTTTATTTAAAAATCCATGTTCATTTAAAATTCTGATTTTAAAGTTTATCTTTTAATTTAATAAATGTTTTGCTTCAAGTTTTATTTTTACCGTTGACAATAAATGGAGGAAATAATTGTTGAAAAACAGAAGATGAAGCAACAGTATTGGCAGCATCATTACTACTTTCTTCTTCAGCTTTAATAAGTGCAGCAGAAGTAGATTGTAATAATTGTTGTTGTTGATTTGTTGCAAGTGAAGCAATATCAGAGAAATTAAAATGCTACAAAAAACAATGTTTATTTAAATATTCTGGTTTCCAAGTTCATTAAATATTCTGGTTTATTTAAATGTTTTAGTTTAATTCTGATTCATGTATTTATTCTGGTTTGTTTCTAGAATATTCTGTCTAACAAATAAGTTTGTTTCCGTTTGTTAATGTTTTGTTTCAAGTTTATTTTTCTTTTATTTTTTGCTTCATGTTTATTTAAATATTCTGATCCATGTTTATTTAATTTAATTAAATGTTCGAATTTAATTCTGATTCGTATTTTTATTTAAAAATTCTGTTCTACTTTGTTTTTGTTTTTAATGTTTTGCTTCATGTGTATTTAAATAAACATGTTTATTAAATATTCTGGTCCAAGTTTATTTTTATTTATTGATGTTTTGATGTTTTAATTAATGTTTTACTTGTTTTGCCAAAAATGCTTCAACATCTCCACCACTGCTGCTAATATTTGATTTTGTTTTTCTATTATTTAAAGGAGGGGAATGTGCTGCAGAAGAAGAACCGCCACTAGCAGAACGTTTTATTAATGGAGGAGAGGTTGTTGTTGTTTTACAAATATCTGCTGGGGAAGATGATGATAATAAAGGCATAATTGAAGCATTATTTAATTTTGCTTCATTATTTGCTTCACAATTATTATTATTTGTTGTTGAAGCAGCAGCATTAAGTGAAGCTAACATTGAAGCTGCAGCCAAACAATTATCATTATTATTGCTATTATTATTTAAAAATTGAAATTGTTGTTCTATACTAGTTGGTGTAAGTAGATTATTATTTGTTGAAGCAGCAGCCATTGCTAAAAATAACTGATGAGGATTCAAAGCAGCAGCAACTGAATTTAATGTTGCAGCAGAAGTTGAAGCATTATTAGAATTGAATGGTTGTCCAGTAAGCAAGTAAGAGTTGTTACGATCAAAGCTTCGTGCAGTCTTTCGACATTTTGCACGACGATTTTGAAACCATACTTGAACGCGAGCTTCAGTTAAATTAATTTTGGTAGCCAATGCTTCTCTGAAAAAAAGAAAAGAAATTACATCGTTGCTTCAAGTTTATTTATTTTTATGTTTAAAGTTTATTTTTCCGGTAGACTATTTCCGGAAAAGTTTATATTATATTTCCTTCCGGAAAACTTTAAAATTATATTAAATTTCCGGAAAATATAAAAATTGAAAAATCTTCTCAAAAATAATTCCGGAAAAAATTAAATGTATTTTCCGGAAAAGCTTATTAGTTATATTTCTTCCGGAAAACATAAAAATTATATTTCATTTCCGGAAAATTGCTTCGGAAAATATAAAAATTAATTTTCTTTCAAAACAATTCCGGAAAGAAATAAATATAGTATTTTCCGGAAATATATTTTCCGGAAATAAATATTTTCCGGAAATATATTTAAATATTTTTATAGCGTATATTCGTCCCTCCAAATATTTTTGTTAATTTTATTTATCTATCCCTCATAATATAATTATTTTATTTTTATTTATTATCTAAACATAAGGCGGCAACTAACAGGTGCCGGTTGACTACCATGTTTTTCCCCCTCCCGTTTTACATCGTTAAAAAAATGTGAACAAAAAACAACAACAACATTGATGCCGACAATGAACCAACAACCTATTTTTCCTTTATAAATTTTCACTAATTGCCATCGCAATTGTGTCCTTAAAAAGAAGAAGAAAATCTTCCTCTCTCCCTCGCTCATTAAATTATATTTAATTTTCTAGTTCAAAGAGTACCGAAAAAAAATAATTTTTTTTCTTTTAAAATTTTTTAAAAACAATTTTACACCCAATTTAGGAACCAATTAAAATGTCAATTTTCTTTTTTCTTTTTTTAATATATTAAAGGGAAAAATGGTTTTTATTATTATAATTATGTTAAGCCAGAAGGAAGGCGAAAAAAATAATTTTTAAAAAATTTAAAATTAATTTAATATTTAAACAAAAAAAGCTCTTTTTCGAGATTGTTTTTGCCATAAATTGCCATAAATATGTGTATACCTATTTAATTTTTAATTGGTTTTTGTTGATGATGATGAATGAAAATAAAAAAAAGATAGAGAGAATCATGAGAAAAAAGAAAAGAAAATTATTATTATTTAATTTGACATTTTTGAAAAAGATTGGATATAAACAATATGCATTTAAAATTAAAAATTTCCCCTATTTTTGATTAATTAAAGAAGAGAATATAAAAACGAGAGTGAGATGATGTTGAGAGAAAAAAAGAATCAGAAATAATATTAAAAATCAGAAGAAAAGAAGACATTTTCTTTAAATTCAAGTTTTCAAGTTTGTTAACTTAAAACTTGAATAATAATTCAGAATAAATTAAATAAAAATCAGAATAATCAGAAAAACTTTATTTAATTCAAGTTTTTAAGTTTGCAAACTTAAAATTAATTCAGAATAAATTAATTCAGAATTTTTTTTAATTCAAGTTTCAAGTTTGTAAACTTGAAAACTTGAATTTATTATAATATTCTTTTTCAAGTTTTTGCTTCAAGTTTATTTTTTTATTAATTTATTTATTTATTTATTCCTCTTTTTAATAATTCCCCCCCCCCCCCCGTCTCCCTTCATTTTCTTTTGTATACTTAAAAAGATAATAAATGTGTGCCACTTGTTGCCTTACCTATTTTACTATTAGCCCCTTTTTAATGGCCATTAATGGATTTTTCTTTTTAAATAAGGAACAAATTAACCAACAATTCCCTCTCTTTTTAAGTAAACCCTCCTTTACCTACTTTTATGTATTTTTAGGAAATGCGCTCCAATTGCCGCCATTTCTACTCAAAAAAGCAACGGAAGGGGGAGAAAAGCTTTATAAAACAACAATTTTTGACTACTTCCCGCATGAACCAATTTTTAAAGGGTTTTCTTAAATAAATTTATTTATTTTTAACTTGTGTCTCCCGCAAAGAGAGTAGTTACAAGGTGTGTAGAGACGCTTCAACGTTGTCTTTCCCCCCAACCCTAAATAAATTATACCATATAGAGAAAACCCCCTCCCTTTCATTTTCTCCCCCAACTTCCTGTACTATTTCGGTAAATAAATAAAGACAATATTTTATTTTAAAAATTAGTTTCCGTAGTTTCCGGCCCCCCAATTTTAAAAGAAAAGAAAAAGGCGACCATAATTGACTAAGGAAAAGATAAAAATTGTTTTAAGGCCTTAGGGCAATTAGTTTAGTTGTTGATGGCCAAAAACAATTGCCGCTTTACCGACATTTTTGGACTTGCTTAAAAATTTTTTTTCCAAAATATTTAAGTACGCGCAATATTTAAAAAGGGAAATTTAATTTGCTTAAAAATTTTTTTTCCAAAATATTTAAGTACGCGCAATATTTAAAAAGGGAAATTTAATTTTTTGGGAAAAATATTTAATTTGAGGTAGAGGAGGTCCATGAGAGAGAAAAAGAAAGGAAAGCGAAGACGGTAAGGTAATTGCTTGGAAATTAAAAATAAGTTTAAAGAAAACCAATTTTTTTTAATTTCACATAGAAAATAAATTTTAGAAAAATTAAAAAAAGAATTAAATAACAAATTAAAAGATTTTCAAAGAGAAAAACAGGCATGAAGGAGAGAGAGACGTGACTAGAAATGACTACCATTTAAACTAACACAACTCAAGAATAAATAAACCAATTAAAATACTTTTGGTATCATTCGATAGAGAATTAAATTTGCTACAAAATAGTCAGGAAAAGAAAATTTTAGGCAAACTCAAAAAATTTTTTTTGACCAAAAAACTTGAAGAATTCCCTACTCTGTGTAGGTTTTTTGATCATAACTCGTTTTCTACAAAATAAAAAATTTTGGGTTTGATCTCATTTTGTAGCTCATTAAATTCTCTATCGAATGATATCAAAATCATTTTTATATTCCAACTCATTCTCAAGTAATAGACCAAAAACTAAGCCCACGTCAAGTCTATTAAAATATAAAAGTTGCTACAACAAGCTTAAAATTTTCCGGAAAGATCAGACAAAAGAAAATAGTAAAGAAAAATAAGAGGATTACAGTAACAAGTTTAAAAGCAATAAAAAGAAGGAAAAAAAGAATTAAAAAATATGTAGACAGAAAAAAAGAAGCTTAATTAGGTTTATTTTAGGCCCTTAATGTCCAAAACTTATTAGAAAAAAAATTTTTAGAAATGTTTTTACTGTACTTTAATTATAATCCCCATTAATTTAGCATAAATATAAAAAATAAATTTTTAATAAAAATTAAAAAAAAAATTTTTTTATAAAATTAAAAAAAGCTACCTCACGTAAACATCTGGATATTGTTGAAATGCAAATGTTTTCTCCTTAAAATAAAAATAAATAAACTTTGTTTCAAGTTTTTATAGGTTTACATTTGTTTCAAGTTTTTAAAGTTTTGTATATAAATTAAAGTTTGTATTTGTTTCAAGTTTATTTTTCTTTTCAAGTTTTTATTTCAAGTTTTCAGGTTTATTTTATTTCCAAGTTTATTTTCAAGTTTTAATTTAAGTTTGTATTTGTTTCAAGTTTATTTTTAATTGCGTATTTGTAATTACAAACTTAAATTTGCAAAACTTTAAGTTTGCAACTTTAATTGTTTTGTAAAAACTTATTTTATTGAATTTAATGATTTTTAAGTATAAACAAAAATGCTTCAATTCGGTTATTTTTTTCTAATTAAAAAAAATTTTTAAATTAATTTTTAAATTAATTTTTTTACCATTTCATCTAATTGGCTAGAATTAAAAGTTGTTCGATATCTTCGTTGTTTACGTTTTCCATTTCCTCCTCCACCTCCAACACCACCACCACCTCCACAAGCATCAGTCAAAGGAGGAGAAGAATTTTGTTGTTGGTGTTCCCAATCCAAAATTGATCTAGAATTATTATTTCCACCAAAATTATTTTGTTGATGATCATTTAAAGAAGAATTTTCTGATGATTTTCTTGTTTGTTGTTGGTTATTTTGACGTTCTGTTGAACCTCTCATATTTTTATTACGTTTTGGTGGAGGCGAAAAACAATCTTTTTTTTTTTAATTAAAAAATATTTTTAATTTTTCGTTAATTTTACCATTTTCTTCAGCCTCATTAGACTCTGTTTTGTACACTTTATCACCACTAACATCACTCTAAAATTAAAAAAATTTTTTTAAATAAAATCTTAATTAATTTAATTATTAAGAGGTCGGTTCAGTGCCAGCCTTATAACTCAACAAATACTAAAGCTTTTGAAAAGCTTTATACACCATTCGAAAGAGAATTAAATTTGACATAAAATGGTTAAAAATTCAAAAATTAGAATTAAGTTTAAAAAAAGTTATGGGAGGAAAAACTTTTAAAAATACCCAAAAACACGCATAAACATGCGCAAGTTTTTTAACCTCAACTTGAGTAGAATTAAACGAAAAAAATTTTTTAATGCTGTTTTGGTAGAGAATTTAATTCTCTATCGAATGGTATATAAAACAATTTAATTGGTCAATCTGTTAAAAAGATACGAAGCAAAAACTACGACTAGGTAGAAACAACGCTTAGGTAAAAGCAAGTGTTATCTCAAAAACATACCCAGAAATTTTAAATTAAAAAAATTTTTTTAATGCTGTTTTGATAGAGAATTTAATTCTCTATCGAATGATATATAACTCAATTTTATTGGTCAATCCAAACAAAAGATATAGGGCAAAAACTACGACTAGGTTGAAATAACGCTTAGGCAAAAACAAGCGTTATCTCAAAAACATGCCCAAAAACTTTAACTTAAAAATTTTTTTCTTTTCACCATTTGAGGAGATGAAGAAACTAAAGACGAATTTTCAGCCAAATTTGTATTATTATTAGCAATTTGTTCTTCAAATTGTTTTTGTAAAAATTGGGAAGCATTTGAATTAGCAAATAATCCAGGCATTAATAACATGTTGGTCAAATCTTGTTGTGAAAATGAATTTAAAAATTCACTACTTGTTGTTGTTGTTGGAAACATTGAATAAATTGAAGAAACTTGTTGCTGTTTAAGTAGGGATTCTGCTAGAAAATATGAAAAAAAATTTTTTTCTGAAGAGAAAATTTTTTTGAATTTTCCCAGAAAAAATATTTTCGAAGAAAAAATTTTAGAAAATTTTTTCAAAAAAATTTTTTTCAAAAAAAAATTTTTAATTTTTACCATTTTGACCATTAACCGCTGCTGCAAACAAAGCAAGCGTTTGTCCAGCAGAAGCATTTTCTGGAGAGAAAAATGATGTTTGTTGTTGTTGTTGTTGTTGGGATCCACTCTCTACAATTGATGAAACATTTGTTTCTTGGAAATTGGACAAAAATTGTTGTTGTAATTGAGAAAACATTTGTTGTAAATGTTGTTGTTGCAATGCATCAGAAAAAAGAATGTTTTCGTTTGTTGGTGTTGTTGGTGTTTTGAATGTTTGTTGGGAATTTTGGTCATCATTTGTTTGCTAAAAACATGAACTTATTAAAATATGTTTGTAAACAAGTTTTTAAAACATGTTTTTGACCAAGTTTTTACAAATGTTTGTAAAACAAGTTTTAAGTAAAATGTTTTCAAAAAAAGTTTTGACATGTTTTTCAAAAATGTTTTTACAATTGGTTGTAAAATCCAGGTTTTAACAAAATAAGTTTTACAAAAACAAGCGAAACAAGTTTAATTTAAAAAATGCTTTTAAACAAGTTTTTGTAAATGTATGTAAAACAAAGTAAGCAAAACAAGTTGTAAAAACTTAACCAACTTGTTTATTTGACAAAACTTGAAGTTGTTGTTGTTGATTTGTTGTTGCAACATTTGTCACCATATTTTTAATTTGTTGTTGTTGTTTATGTTGTCCACCTTTATTATTGCTGCTATTATTTTTGTGCCTAATCGAGGCGGTTGGCGAATGCGCCGACTTTGTAGACGGCGTCGTTGCTGTTTTTTAGAAAAATAATTTAAAAATAAAAAAAAAATAATTTTTTATTGAAAAAATCTAAAAAATAAAAAAAAATTTGGAATTTTTTAATTTTTTGAACTTTTGACATTTTGACATATTTGACATTTTAAAAATAAAATTAATAAAAAAAATAAATTTTTTAGCAAGAAAGTACACAGGCAATTAATTAAAGGAAAAGAGAAAATAAAATAATAAATTTTTTTTTGAAAAATCATTTAAATATGTATTTTTTTACAATTCATTTAATTTCATCATTAGCTTAATGCATAAATAATAAATTAAAAAAAATTTTTTTTAGAAAATTATTCATTTATTAAAAAAAATTTTTTTTACTTTCTGATAACGTCAATTTTCTTATAAAAAATTTAAAAAAAAATAAAAAGATTTAAAAAAATTAAAAAATTTTAATTAAAATAAGAAGGGCAAAGAGAGAATTAAGTAGTAAGCAGTAATGAAGTCACCTTTAGTTTTAATTTTATAAGTCTAGAATGAATAAATCTTAAAAAATAGTTTTGATAACATTTAATAAAGAATTGAATTGGCTACAAAATAGGCAAGAAGAAAATTTTTTAGAAAAATAAAAAAAAAAGTTGTGGACAAAAAACTGACACAATTACGATTATTTTTGTGTATGTCACCTCATTTTTAAGTTTATAACTCTAGACTGGATAAATCTTAGAAATTAGTTTCAGTATCATTTAATAGAGAATTGAATTGGCTACAAAAAAAAATAAAAATAAAAGATATTAGAGAAATTTACAAAAGAGTTATGACCAAAAAACTGACACATTTTTGCCTATTTTCGATGATTATTTGACCTAAAAAATTTTTTTCGGAAATTTTTCTTTACAAAATTTGTAATAAATCCAAATTCCTTAATTAAAAATGATACTAAAAATTTTTTTGTTATTTAGACATTAACTATCCATTAGAGAATTAGATAATAATTATATTTATTGAAACACACACTAGACTATAATGAGAATAACTAAATAAATAAATTAAAAAAATATAAATAAAAATGATTTAAAAATATGAAGAGAATGAATTAGAGCTCATTAGTGTGTAAATATTTTTTCGTGCCAAATTTATGCAAAAATAAAATAAATTTTAAATTCATTAATTGCCAATTGACGCAATTTAGAAAAATAATAAAAAGAGAGGATGGAAGAGAAAGGTGAGGTGTGTTAATAAGTGCAAATTTATTAGTAAAACAGCCAACGTACACCAACCAACTTTTGAAACAAACATCCAATTAAAAATAAATAAATTGTTTTTTTAATATTCAAATAATAATAGAAAATTAAATTAGCTATAAAATAGAGAAAAAATTTAAATTTTTAATTAATTTTTAAATAAGATTTCAGCCATAAATCCCTCAAAATCCTTCAAAAACCTCCAAAAATGACACTTTTTCAAATACAACTTTTTTCAAGTTCGACATAAAAATTTAATTTAAATCTCATTTTATAGCTTATTCAATTCTCTATTTATAGAACCAAAAAATCCCAAAATCGATTTAGTTTAAAAAAAGTTATGTTAATTTAAGTAAGGCATGCCTTCAATTACAAGAAAACAACCAATAATTAATTGAGAAGAGAAGAAAAAAAGTTTTAATAAGAAATTCAAGTTTATTTAAAATAGAACTTGTTCAAGTTTGTAAACTTAAAAGTTTGTAAACTTAAATAAATAAAACTTGTCCAAGTTTGTAAAAATTCAAGTTTGTAAACTTCCAAGTTTTAAATTTAAAAAATAAATAAAACTTGTTTTAGTAAAAACTTGAAGCAATTAAAAACAAAACTAAAACAATTAGGCGGAAAAAAATAAAAGTTTTATTATTTTTAAATAACCAATTTACTATATTTGCAATTTCATAAAATAAGCTTCAAATTAAAATAAAAAACTTTTTTCCTTTTTATTATTTTATTTTCTCCCGCCGTTTAGTAGAAACTTTTTAAATAATAAATTAACGAGATTGCCATAATTACTTTTTTTTTTATTTTTTCAGTAATTCCCTCAAGTTATTAAAAAATGAAAAGAAAATTTTTTTGGAATATTAGGACCAGAAAATGAAAAATTAAAAAAAAAGTGAAGCAAAACGGTAAATATTTAAAGCAAGTTTCGTAACTAACAAAACTACAAAAGGAAACAAAACATGGAAACATTTAAAACTTGTTTCAATTTCGTAAAATAAGCTTCAAATTAAATAAACAAGTTGATAAAAACAAAGTTGTAAAACTAGGTTTGTAAAAACAAAAAAAACAAGTTGTAAAAACAATTGAGAAAACAAATTGCAAAATCAAGTTGAGTAAAAACATGTTGGGCAAAAACAAGTTTATTTTGACACTTGTTTTTACAACTCAAGTTTAGAAAAACAATGTTGAAAAGAAAAACAAGTTGGAAAACTAAAAACAACAAATTAAAACAAAAGCTAAAAACAACAAGCAAAATAAACAAAAAAATAAATCCAAAAAATAACAAAGAAAAAAGAATGGAATTTAAATAAAAATTTATATAGGTATATTAAGTAAACGGTAATAAATAATAGGAAAAATATTTATTAAAAATATTCTTAAAAATATTTTTAAAAAAATAAAGTACTCATTAAAAATGTATTATTACCACCGCTTTAGAATAAGACAAGAAAAAAATGCCTTTTAAAAAACAGGAAAAATCAAATAAAAATTATAAATAAATTATATAATTTATTTATTATAATAGGATTTGAGGTTATATTATTTGCATTCCAAAAAAATGGGAGGAGCTTATATAATTTGAGAGAGATAAATGGTAGAAAAAAGGGGGAAAAGGAGGAAAGAAAAATGTGTAGGCGTGGTCTATTTCCCCTTCCTTTTAATTTAATAGTGTTAATAAATTATCTGTAATTTTAGTAAAAAATTTTTAAAATGATAATAATTTTTAAATAATAAAAATGATTAATAACTATAAAAGCTCACTATGTATATTCACACATAAAATGTTTGGTAAAAAATTCTTTGTTAAAGAAACAAAACATGGAAACTTGCAAAACTTGTTTCCAAAAAGAAAAACAAGTTTGAGAAAAACAAATTGTAAAAACAAGTTCGCAGAAACAAGTTTGTAAAAACAAAGTTGGTAAAGCAACTTGTTTTTACCAACTTATTTTTAAACAACTCAAGTTTAGAAAAACAAAGATTGAGAAAAAATTATAAAAACAAGTTGGAGAAAAACAAGCTGGTAAAAACAAATTGTTTTTACAACTTGTTGTTAAAACTCAAGTTGTAAAAAAACAAATTGTAGAAACAAGTTGGAGAAAAACATGTTTTTGGTGCTTCAAATAAAACATAAACATAGGTGTGTGCATTAACGTAGCTTGCTTCACTGAGTTAACTTTAAAAATATTCAACACTTAAAAAAATTTTTTTAAATAATTAAACTAAATAAAAGCAGGTAAAGTGTGTAGAAGAAGAAGCATATTAAAAACAAAAAGTACAATGTGTGACAAAATTGAAAAAAAACTTTTTTTAAACACAAGTAATCCCCCTTATTAGTACTAATTTTTACGTAAATTGCTTAATCTGTCTTTAATATTGTTAAAAAAATTTTTTTTCTACCTCAATGATTTCTGTTTAAAAATTAATTGGTAATTTTTAATTGGTCACAAATATAGAAAGAAAAATATATATTGAGTAAAAAAATTTCAAAAAAATTTCAAAAAATTGTCAAGAGAAGCAGAGTCCTTGTGGGGACAAATACGCATGTAATGTAAGCTTAGTTTTTCAACCACAACTCTTCAAATACTTGATATTTTGAAAAGTTTAAGGTATCATTTAATAGAGCATAAAATTTGATACAAAATCGAATAAAAAATATTTTTTCAAGACATTTGGAAAAATAAAAGTTTTTTTAAATTTTAAAGACCTCTCCTCCTCTTTTACCCTATGCTACTTTCTCGCTCACAGCTTTATTTCTAATAAATTAAAATTCTAATTAAAATACTAACTTGTAGCAAATTCAATTCTCTATCGAATATTGCTAAAACAATTTTTTTAGAAATATCCAGTCCGGAGTTACAAGGCTAAAACCTAGCTGTGACTTCACTAACACTGTTTAATTCTCTTTTTTGATCAACAAAATTTTTTTGAAATTTTTCATAAATTTGTATTTATTTTTATTTCGTAGCAAATTCAATTCTCTATCGAATGATACAAGATTTGTTCAAAAAAGATTTTTTACAAAAAAGTTACAAGGGTTGGCACACAACTGGGGCTATTCAACAAGACACTCACTACTAAACAGCTTTTGTTTAATACAAAGAGGAATTTAAAAAATAATTTCAACTAATTATTAAAATATAAAAATGAGCTTATACTAATCTATTTAAATGTTAACAAAAATTTTTCGTCATTAAAGGAAAAAAAAGAGAAATAAAAAAATGAGTTAATGAACTGTTTACATAAACACACACACATTTACATAGCTCAAATAAAAAAAAATTTTAAGAAGATAAAAAACAAGAAAAAAATTAAAATAATTAACAAAATAGTATATATAAAATAATAAAGAAAAAATAATAATATTAATATATCATATCATAAAAAAATGACATTTTTAAATAATAAAAATTTTAAAAAGAAGAAACATTGAAAAAGCAACAGTGGAGAAACAAAACTAAACTTGAAACATAAAAACAAACTTGAAACATCTAAAACTTGGAATTAAGATTAAAACTTAAAACTAATTAAAATACAACTTGTTTTAATTCAAGTTTATTTAAAATTAAACTTGAATTAAAACAAAAACTTGGTTTAAAACAAACTTGAATTAAAACAAGTTTTATATAAGTTTTGCTTCAAGTTTAATTTTAATTTAGTTTATTTGTTTCA